AGTTTTCAATGAGGCTTTTCTGATATGTACTGAAAGATACAGTTCTGTTTAGGATTTTAGATGAATTAGTGAAGAAATCAGGGATGACAATTTAACCATTCTCACAGGTCCTCTGCCAAAATCACTTGGCTTTCAGACAGATCAGTAGACTTACCTCCATCAATAAGCATCTTAAGGTGCCATTACATTTCACAAAAGGGTCAAAAATCAGATTGAAACTAAAAATGTAACGATTCCTTAAACATTGGATATAAATTTTGCCCACAAAACATGCAGTTAATTCACTTTACAGTATATCATGTGAAGTACTTTGAGACGTCTCGAAGATGTGATAAGGTGCAAGGATTATTATTATTAATAAATTACCTCTGTGTGCAGGAGGCAGATTTCCTTACATTATTCTCAATGTCAATGCCCTGAAACTGAGTTGCACATTTGCTTTCTGGCTCAGGGCATTCTCAATGGGGACTTTATTTGGGAATATCAGACTTTAAATGGGCGTGAGAAAATAAACCCAAAAAATATTTTCAGATAGGCCGGGCAACAGGACAAAATAACACAGATTTAGAGTAAGAGTACAGTTTCAAGACAGATATCATGTTTCTTTACCCAGAGGGAAATTAACAACAAACAAATAGTAGGGTGGACATTCTGGAAGGACGAGATCAAATACGCTGAAGGAGCTTCCCTTGTGATTGTACGATCGGTAGTAACAACAAAATTACATTTATTGAGCGCCTTTCACGTCAGGAGGAAGTCCCAAGGCGCTGGACAGTCAGGGGTCAGGACCCGAGCATGCGGGAGGGGTGGGGTAGGGGTGAGGGAAGGCAGAGAGGTGTGAGGGCGACTGAAGGCACGATCGAAGTGGAGGATCTTGAAACCAGTCTTGAAGGAGGCAAGGGAGCAAGCGAGGTGAAGGGACCGTGGGATGGAGTTCCAGAGTGTGGGGCCAGAGAAGCTGAAAGCCCGGCCACTAATGGTAGGGCGGGAGACATGGAGCAGACCGGAGCCCGCTGAACAGAGGGAGCGGGCAGGTTGGTAGGGAGTCAGCAGGTCAGAGAGGTAGGAGGGGGCAAGGCCATGGATGGCCTTGAAAATGAGGACAAGGATCTTGACTTTGATCCTCTGGGGGATGGGGAGCCAGGGGAGTCAGGCGAGGGTGCGAGTGATGGGATCACGGAGACTGGTGCATGAGAGTACACGAGCTGCAGAGTTTTGGATGATCAGCAGCTTGTGAAGGGAAGAGTTGGGAAGGCTGATGAGGAGGGAGTTCCCGTAATCGAGCCTTGATGTGACGAATGCGTGGGTGAGGGTTTCGGCAGCCTGAGGGATGAGGCTGTGGCGGAGTCTGGCAATATTGTGGAGGTGGTGGTAGGCAGTGCCAGTCAGGGCATGAATGTGGGGGAGAAAGGGCAGTTCAGGGTCAAACAAGATACCCAGGTTCCTGACTGGCTTAGTGAGGTTGAGTGTGCAGCCGTGGAGGCTGATGCTGCCAACGCCTGAGGTGCAGAGGTGCTGGCGCGAGCAAATCAGGAGGGCCTTGGTCTTGCTGACGTTCAGTTGGAGAAAGTTGTCCCTCGTCCAGGACTTGATGTCGGACAGGCAGTCAGTCAGGACGCCAGTAATCCTGGAGTTGAGGGTAGAGGCAGAGAGATAAGAGTTGTGTGTCATCCGCATACATGTGGAAATTTACCCCATGTCTGCAGATGATGTCACCAAGGGGAGCATGTAGAGGGTGAAGAAGAGGGGACTGAGGACAGAGCCCTGGGGAATGCTGCACGAGACGGTGCGCGGGCTGGTGGAGAAGCCGTTTGCTGAGACAAAGTGGAGGCAGTGTGAAAGGTAGGACCTGAACAGTCAAGGACAGAACCTTGGAGGTTGAGGTGGGAGGAGAGGCGGTGGAGGAGGATTGAGTAGTCCACAGTGTTAAAAATTGACGGCGAGGTCGAGGAGGCAGAGGTTCATGTCTTTACTAAACGTCCAAAGAAAAAAACTGCATTTCGGTTAACCAACAGTTGAAAGTCACTGTATGAAAGTGAATTGGGGGACAGCATCAGGATATCAATATTGAGAACAATGTCGTGGGTTGGGAGTTCACTTTTCATATATTAGTTATTCATATTTGGCACTCAAGCAATGTATTAACTTAGGCCACAAATTACATGTCAGCGTTGTGCAATCCTCTGTGTGTACATCTTTTCTCTGTAATAGTGAGCATTTCTGCAGCAAACTTAGCAATTTAGTGGATCATTTAACAATTAAGCTATTTAACTAAAAATTAAGAGCCTATCGCCTGCAGTTTCCCATTACTGTCCAAAGAAAATCAATAAATTTAGTCAGCAGCTATTAATTATTGTCAGTTCAAAGGGAGATTAAATCAATAAGCACAGTGGCCAAATGACCTCTTCCTGTGCTATAAAATTCTAATTCTAAGAATTGAAATAAAGGAGGGGGAAAGTGCTGAGAAATACAATAAATGTAGCTAGCACCACAAAGGCAGAATAAGCTGTAACAGCCTCTTTCCATGCCTAATATTATACTTTTTATGATTGTATCTATGAAAAAATTGAGAAAATTGTTCTATTCTTGGTAAATGTTTAATAAATGACATCCAAATTATTGTAACTAATAACTGGAATTGGTTATGACCAAACCGAAACACAGCCCGAGAATAGGCAAGTTTTCAACATTTGTTTAGTATAGTTTTGTACCAGCTAAATACTTTATTATGCAAATCAATTTGCTGTACTTTGAAACCAAGTACATGCTTCAACAATACTGCAGGAACCCGTGCTGCAAAGATTACCTATAGGTCCGGTTGTCTTCATTCTTTGAATTAATAACATCATCCACACTCTACAGGATTAGACCTACCTGGATCTTATTGGGGATTTCCAAAACAAACCTTTCTAATTGCTCATAATAATTCTTGCATTTGATATAGTACCTTATCATGTCTTCAAGACTTCTCAAAGCTCTTCACAGAATATACTGTAAAGTGGAGTTACTGTATATTTTGTGAATAAAAATTGCGCACAATGACGTACCACAAACAGTCGTGGACTGAGTGACCAAATTCATTGGTTTCAAGGGAGGTCAGCACAAGCTATTTAATCAACCCAAACAAACACTGAGCTGACTCCAGCCTGCCATGTCCTGTAATAATATAATTATAATCTTGACTGATATTTCACTAAAGTACTTGTGGAGATCTACATTGTCTAAGATACTGTCCTTCGAATGAGATATTAAACCAAGGTCCCACCCATCTGTTTTTAGGCAGATGCTAAAGATCTATTCCAAAAGAGAGGAACCAACAGTTCTCTAAATAAACTGGTCATTCACCTCTTGGTCATTTACGACTCTTGATGGGTGCAAAATAGCTGTCAACTCTCCTTGCAAAAATATTCACACTTGATAATAAGTTCTATAAAATGCTATAGAAATTTACAATGTTTGAAGGTGCTATAAAATGCTAATTATTTCCTTATGATCTTGAAAGTTTATGTTTTAAGAAACAATTGAATTCCAAGAACAGTAGATTGCAGTCAAGCTGATACATCAACCACTTTGTTCAGACACCTTGGATCCAGAAAGGGAGGGAATCATTGGACTTCTTGAGTACCTGAAGAAATTTAAATAGCACCCTCTTCTAGCTGTGCTTCTCCATGGCTGCTCAAGATGGTAAGCTGTCAATCTCTTCTGTTAGTATCTGCGACAGAAAATATTGAGAACCAAGGCTGGATTTGATAATATTGTACCACAGTAACAAGGTGCCAACCTACAAAAGAAAAGAGGTTATCTATTACTAGATAGCAAGTGATAATTGAAATCATCTCCTAGTCAACTGTTCACCTTCTTGTCCTGGGTCATCTTACTTTTTTTTAAAAAAAAGCATAATTCTGATTTCCTAGTAAGGAAGGACAAAGTAGGAGGAACTTCCCCTGATATCCAGCTGATACAACTCAGTCATACTCAAACCCGAAAGTAGATGGTCACAAAGGAATTTATCATAGGAGACAAGTTTCTTTGGATGTCCCAACAATATAGACCTTGGTGGACTGTTATGTTACTGTGTGTGAAGCACAGCATGTTGAGAATGGAAATGCATCTTTTGACTGTTGGAGCAGGTTGAGATATTAGTTTAATGTTCAGCAAGCAAGTTTTCCACACAGCCGTAGCCATTCTCTTTGTATTCTGCCAGAAGTACCACTAAAAATATTCAACCTCATTGCTCAGTAACACAGGGATTACAATAATAATCAATTCCATTTTATTGATACAGTAGTAAGCTTGGCAACACCAACAATCCTGTAATCTGCTTGTCCATCCAAGGAGCTCTTAATGACAATGTGGGGGAGGAGGGAAGAATAAAACACATACACACATCCTACTATACATTACAAAACAGATGTCAATCCACTATTCAAATAAAGCAATTCTAGCACGATTAGTACATTTCGGTCAAATGTCCTCAAATTCATCGTGTGAAAGGAAATATTTACATCTCAGGGTAGTAACAATTCTTACATGTGAACAATAACAATAAGCAACTCGGAAACAGGTCAGTCATCTCATTTTGAGATTCATTAAAGGCCTGCAGAAAATCTCACAGCAAAAGGATTGGGATTTACTCAATAAACTAAGTTCATCAGCCCCTTTTTTCTACCACTACTATGCTGAAGACATTTACATAAAAGGGACTGAATTTTGCAAGGCAGGTTTTGAGCAGTTTACTCTACATTTTATTTGCAACCTTAACAGACTCCCTGGTCATTGGTCATTGGTTGGAAGAAAGTCAGACAGAAACAAAAACTGTACCAACTTTTAAGCAACTGGTGACTGTGAGTTCCCAGATATCACTCACTTTGGTGAAACTCTGTTATTATTCAAGCGCACATCTTGGACCTTTTTAATAGCTCACCAATATCAATGAGAATTTTTCCATAATATTCTCCAAGTTTTCTTACCAAGCAGCCTGGACCATACATTAAGAAAAACAGGAGACATGTGGGATATTTGAATGAAATGTATTTATTTTGAAAAATTAAAATTAAAGGCGAGATCTATCCACATTGAAGATCTTAATACTATGATCAGCACTACAACTAGCCAACTGTAACCACTTGCTATCAGATTCATCATTGCAACCTGCTCTTCCCACCGATTGTCTCCAACGCAGCCTCTTGACAGCTAGAGTGTGACATTGCCTGGAACAATTGCAGTTAAAGAAGTAAATAAATATCAGGTGAATCATAAATGTCAGAATAAGGCAAGGTTAAGAATTTAAATTCCATTATTCATATAATTAGAGTTATGATTTACTATGGTCTGTTGTGAATGACTGACATACAAGAAATATTAATGATAGTAGTGAAAGATTTATATTCATATCTACAATTAATTCCAAATAAATTCCACGCATCAAATTCAAGTTGAAACAAGTCACTCATGTCGGGGCTAACAGAGATGCTACAGTGAAGATAAAATGAACACTGAAGATTACTAAGTGTAATTTGCTGTATTTTTTGATGTATTCACTTCCAAAAAATCAGGACATTGATATTTCACACATCTGACAAATAACTTTTAAAACTTTGTTAGAAAATAATGAATAATTCAGAGCACCTCACTTCTAACCAACCGAAGGAACAGAGTATTTTGAAAGCTATCTTCTGCAAGGAATCACAGGTGTTGTCTGTCCTCTGCAGATACAACTCACCAAACCAATTCCTTGGCTTCCAGTTTGATCGTCAGTTCTACCTTCTCTCTAACATCCACTGTCTGACAAGCTTTTCTTCTACTCTGTCAGATCACCCCTTATCTCAATTCTACCTCACTCAAGCTCCACATGGTGATTACTTTCTGCATGTGTTAGACACCTGACTGACCAGAAACAAAACACATCACTTTGGAGCTAGCTCAGCCCCAAGGAGATCCCATATTATCTTCCCTTTTTAGATATGTGGCATGGGAACAGGAGTAGGCTATTCAGCTCCTCGAGGTTGCTCTGCCATTCTATTAGATTGTGGCTGATCCAAATATGGATCTTAACTTTTAGGTAGTGAGGAAGGATATTGGCACCTACAAAGCATGATACTGAAATAGATTCCAACATACATGATGATGGGAAACGACTTTTGCAAGCTTGATTGTAATATAATTGAACCTTTTTAAGGCACTTAAACAGAAAATAAGTGCTTATTGACAGATATATACATGCCATTGTGATTGCTTGTATGCTAGAAAAAATAATTAAATTAAGTAATTCCCAGTTACCAAACTAGAAGTCAGGGGTTAGAATTCTATAATAGTAACTCAACAAAAGCAAGATTTTACGTACAGTACACCATTTCTTACATAGAACACAATATCTGATCAGAAAGAATCTTGAAGGGTTTGAAATCCTAGAAAGCACTTTAAATTCTCTATCCAGATGGATTAACCAACGGCACTGAAACTGAAATTCCCGTGCAAAGTGGTTCAAGGAGAGACTATAAATAGTATGTTTAGATCATGAATTTTAAATTATAAATCACACTTTGCAGCCAAAGGACAGACTTCATGTTTCAATCTGTTCAACAAGAGAATAATCTATGTTGACATCAGTTTTGTTGAATTAAAGAGATAATTAGAGGTAGACTTATTGGTTTCTGATTTTAGAAAGGTAGAAATCGGTATTCATTGACTTTTAAATTTTTTCCCAAATCAAGCAAATTGAATTCTGATTGTTAAACACCTTTTTAAATAAAGCATGATGATGAGTTTCTGCATAAGTGAGACACCCTCTGATAAAAAAATTGTAACTCAGCTCTAAGGAGAACCTGACTTTCAGTAACCTTAAAACTGAGAGGTTTTGTAATTAAATTGATCGCTAAAAATGGGACAAAATCCCAAAAGGTAAAATAAACATCACTGTTATTCAGTAAATTTAAAAAAAATTAAAACCAACAACCCTAAACATGCAATTCAACCATAGCTTCTGAATCACTTGGTAAAGTGGTATATTTGATGCACACAAAGGATACGATTTGTCCAGTTCCAGACATTTGATCCAGTCTATATTTTGAGTGGTTTCTGCTGCTTTCCACTTATACAACATTATCTTGCCACACTCCAAACCTACTGCAAGAATGTAGCTGTCAAGGGAGAAGAAAACATTAGATCTCATTTTACATCTATATAAAGTGGGCATTTCTCAGCTGCTTAAAGGAGAAAGCCATAGATATGAAAATGTGTATACAAATGGATACTTGCAACACTTCAAAACAAGTATACATTTACACATACAGCAAAATCCTACATATCCTCTTGGATCAATAATCTGCTATAGCCACATGTACATAATCTGAGAATAACTTTAGAGTTCAGGCAGATCTATAGCCAATGAATGCTCATCATTTCCATAAGTATTCAATGTGTTCTTTGGTCATCTTCCCTCCCCACTAATATTACAGTAATATAAGTACTCAGTACATGGTTGCAGGTTTACACAAATTTCTGAGAGCCATTTGTTGAATTTTCTGATGTATTGGAATTTTTTTATTATGCTAATCTCAGTCAAAACCACTAAAGTTAATTCACAAATGTAAACAAAAATGAAACATTGCCTATTTTCCTATTCACTATTTATTCAACAACAAAAATTTGTCTGTCTTGGGGTTGCAAACCCTCGATTGTCCAGCGCCTTGGGACGACATCCTGCCGATGCCAAAGGCGCTATATAAATGCGATTTGTTATTGTTACTATTTTCTAACTTTTCTAAACTTTTTCTACCTTTAATATTTTTCACTTCTCACCTACATTTTAGAACTTTGTTTATATATAGCCACTATATATATAGGTCAGATTGCTAGACTGACTAATGCTGTAGCCAACTGAAAAGGTAAATATTGAAGGTGGGAAGAGTTTGCGGTGTTGAGTTACTGAGCTCAGCTATCCCATTGTGAGTTATCAGCTCGGGAGGTGGGTATATACTGAAGGACAGCCAGCCTGAAGCTACCATCCAATCTCAGACAGACACTAGTTGAAGAATGGCCAGATGTACTCTGTTATGTATGATGCAAACAAATGGAGCAAAAAGAAATAGCAGAGAAAACATTCATTAACCAGTGTCACATACAAAAAAATCCTCACATAAAACTTGATTGCAACTGTTGAAATGTCTATCTAACAGCTATTTGTCGAGAGCTGGTAATTAACTTCCAGGGCACGATAATGAGCAGAAGCAGCTAATTTGGTCACAGTTCTATAAGGACTACAATTCAATAATTAATTTTATAATTACTGCTATTAATATGTGGTTTTATAACCAAACCTTTTTATCTATGGTAGAAAAAGCTATAACTTCCTTTCTTTAAAAAGACGATGCACGTAGAGGTGTAAGATAATGAAAGAGTTTCAGTGTATTAGTGGAGAACTATAGCTTAGTGGTTGGAGCACTCGCCTCGCAAGCAAGAGGACCTGGTTCGCTTCCTGGGCAGAACAAAATGATGAGCAAGTTTCCGTACTCCACAGGCCTCTGTTTACATAGCAGTAAGTAGGAACCCAATTGTTAGCCGATTGGCGGATCGCTTTTTCAGGGGTAATAATCCCTTAAAAAATAATAACATGAAAAAATTTGGTCACTCATTCCATGACTGTTTGTGGGACACTCATGTGCACAAATGGCTGATGCGTTTCACCCACAAAATATAATGAATTCACTTTACAGTATATACTGTGAAGTGCTTTGCATAGATACATAGACATAGAAACAGGAGTAGGTTATTCAGCCCCTCGAGCCTGTTCCATCATTTTATAAGATCTTTGAGACACCTGGAAGATGCAATAAGGAGCTATATTAAATGCAAGGACCATTATTATTAACCACGAACAACTCTCTGTTGGTCAGGGATTCGAGGACACAAATTTCAAGATTGTGACTAGAGGAGTAAAAGAAGATGTTTAGAATAATTTCTCCCCTTGAGGGGCCTCTCAGCCCCTAGGCTCTGGAACTCCATCCCCCAGTGCCTTCACCTTGCTTCCTCCCTTTCCTCCTTCAAGGCCGGTCTCAAGACCTTTCTCTTCGACCGTGCCTTCAGCTCCCCTCTCAACTCTCTACCCCCTCCTCGCTCCCTCCCTTCCCTCCCCTCACCCTGACCATGTCCCCCCTGCTCGGGTCCCGACCCAACTGTCCAGCGCCTTGGGACGTCCTCCCGACGTGAAAGGCGCTCTATAAATGAAATCTTTTTGAATCTTGTTGTTGTCACTGTTTGGTGTGATTTGCCAAATCTGGCTGTTAATTGGCAGTAGGTTGGGGTATTTAAAAACAAATTGGATAAATGCATGCAGAGAAAGAGAGCACAAGGAAACAGCAAGGTATTGGGATTATGCAAGATTGTACCTTGGAAAAGCAAGCCAACACTGTATCATACTGATGGTTCTATGACATAAAGTAATCATTCTGAAACCTTCAGCATACATTCAGAACCATAAATGGTTAAAAGCAGGAGTTGCTTTGTGAATAACAGCTTTGCTTCCACCTCAATTTCCAACTATTCAAAATGTATTTTTTTATTTATGAAGCCCACTTTGCTGCAGTTCATGTTTTATTCATTTAGACCTAATTCATTTTCATCCTCTAGATAAAAACTAGGCATCCATCTTCTTCCAAGAACTAGACGGGTTATTTCCTTGAAGTTCAATGCGCTACAATTTACTTTACAAGTAGAAGACTTTACTTACTGGATAGTAAGTAATAATAATAATTCTTGTGTATGACATAGCGTTGAGATGTCTCAAACGCTTGACAGGATATACTGTAAAGTGGTGTGACTGTATATTTTGTGGGCCAATGTGATAGTAAAAGAGGAAACCACTCTTCTGACCCAGACAGAATGTCCATTCACTCTTAGCAAAGGGATCACATGATGTTAGCCTTAAGACCACTGTCTTGCAATTTAAGATTGTGCACAATTTTGGAAAAATTGGTCTCTGCTTTCTAAGTATTAGAAATGTTGCAAGAAAAGAGTCTTGTTCTGACCTTGGTCCAGAATTGGCAAATCAGACTTTGACTATTAGCATCTCTCACAAGCTTTTCAATAAAACAGGTGCTGCCAAAAAAGCAACTGGAGTTTTACTTCACTTGGAGACAAAACCAGTCTTTTGTAGCTAGTCTGAGTCTAACTCTTCAGTAATGTAAACAATCTCCAGACATGTAAGTTTTACCTATCTGTTCTACTTTTTCTAGGCAGTATATCTATAATAGCTGTATTTTATGTTGCAGTTTGTTGACATAAACTGAACTCCAGTCAGGATACTGAAGAGAAGCACAATAGCATATGAACTTACCTTTCATCTGGACTTGCAACAGGACCGAAGCTGACAGCTGTGGCTGCATCTCCTACATCCAGAACTGACGAGCATGGCCTGACAGACCTCAAGCTACTGCCTTCAGGTTTCCCAGCTGAACCCATTTCACCCCATACAATTATCTACCAGACAATTAAAGACAATGAAAGCACCAAACCATTCACTACACAACATTGTTGAAAGGATGGAATTTAGGATTGTTGGATTCAGGAATTGAGAGGATATAGAAAATAACTGCAACAAGCAAAGGCTGTGAAAAGAAATTACACGTAAAATAAATATGACTTCTCTGATACTGAAGCAGGATTGCAATGCCTGTGCTGTCAATAGCATTTAACACTGTGCAGTTAAACATTTCTGCTTCAGTGTTCAGCTCTGGTCTCTCAGTAACAATTATATAATAATAATAATAATAAATTATTTCTCTTTGACCGAGCCTTCAGCTCCCCTCGACTCTCTTCCCCCTTCTCGCTCCCTCCCATCCCTCCCCTCACCCTGACCATTTCCCCCCTGCTCGGGTCATGACCCAACTGTGCAGCGCCTTGGGACGTCCTCCTGACGTGAAAGGCGCTTTATAAATGGAATCTTGTTGTTGTTGTTGTTGTATATTCTCACTTTATTTTCTGAAGTCCAACAATGAATGACCATTTATCCAAATTGTTGATATTCCAACGTACTTCAAGTAAAGAGGAAATATGTTTGCTTCTATAGAGAGCATAGAGAGTTTAATTAAAAGATGACCTTTTCCCATATAACTGGAGAACAGAACTGCCCCTGATGGCTATACTTTCACAACGAGGTGAGGCCTACAGAAATTTTCAGGATCGTTGAAGGCCATTTGGCCCATCATGCATGAACCAAAGCACCAATACAAATAGTATCAGAATTGTTCATTTGATATAAAACCTTTCACATTGTGAGGACAAGCGCATTTACATACTTACAATAGAATTAAACATTGACCTTGATTTCTTTCTTTGCTTTTTTTTAAACCCTTCTCTTCTCTTGAAGCATTTTGATTATTTTTTCCTCCTATTGGAGTTTTTGGCTAGTCAGGTGCCACATTTTTGGATATCTCCCACAAGTGGCCAATATTCAGGTGTGAGTCTTGACAATAGGTGTTATTTAAAACATGGACATCATAGTTGAGCCCAATAGTTCCCTTATCTAACTCCAAACACAAGTACAGGCCAGGAGGAATTTCAGAAACATGAATTCTGGTTAATTTATCTTCCATAACCCAGGAAGGTAAATTGCATTGCTCCAAATGGTTGTGGTTTAGATCATCCATTGCAGAATAATTAACTGTAACCTAGATACATAATGCTGTACAAGACAGTACCTTTACCCACTAGAACACTGAAGGGACTCGTCTGTATTTGCTTCCTGACTGTATGCACAATTGGATGTAAAAATTGGTGAGAAGTGTTTTTTAAAAAAAGTATGAAACTACAAATACCGAGCGAAAGAGAAGTTTTAAAAACTGCCAACTTGCTGCAGACATTAAGATTATTTCCCCAATTATTCTACTAAAAGCATTAACAAAGATTTCCCAGTCATGTTTTCATCAGATCACTCCTTGTGCCAAGCTCCAGACCACTCACCTTCTTGTCACGACTACCGGTTACAAAATATTTGCTATCAAAGCTCCAGTCGCATGTCCAAATGATTCGGGTGTGCACAGCAGTGTTTTTATCCGTGTGTGCAAACAGAGAGAAAAAAGGCTCTGGAATTAAATGTACATTGTATAAGCTGGATGAAGATATGTATTTCATACAAACAAAATAACTTTCAACATCATTAACGTAGCTTTAATTTGATGAGAATGTGTCACATATATACAAGGCAATCTTAACCTAATGTCACCAAGTTAGTTATAGCACCATAAAGACATCTTTTGGGCCATCTCCATCAAGGAAATTTACCTGCAGTACACCACCAGCAAACGTTTTAAACCAATTGGTTTGTTATTTAACAAAAATAAAACAACACAACTGTAAGTGCAATACAGGGATTGAAGTGCACTGTTCTGATATTCTTGCACAATACTATCAAGTCATGGCTGCCATGTGTTTGTGAGATCATAGGTTTCTAACTGCAAAGTTTTTCCCAACTGTTTAGATTTATAATAATTTTTGCATTTGATATAGCGCTTTTCCCGTCTTCCAGCCATCTCAAAGCTTTTAAATTTAAAAGATTTAAAACAAGATATAAATAAAGTAATTTTAAATGCTTTTCTGCATCTTCGCCACATTATCTACCTCCATCCCTATCTCAATGCTGCTGAAACCCTCATTCACCTCCAAACTTGACTTATCAATTGCTCTCCTTGCTGGACTTCGCAACTCATCTTTCACCTTCAGCTCATCCAAAACTGTCAACCGCAACATTACCCTTACAAACTGTCATATGCCCATCCTCACCACACTCCACCAGCTCCCAGTTTCCCAACAGATCAACTTCAAGATCCTCACCCTTACCTACAAATTCCTTCAAGCCTCGCAGCATTTTCCTACCTCTGTAAGCCTTCTTATGCTCTTCCTCTTTGCTCTGCACATTTGGGCCTGCTATGCGTCCTCCAACAACGGCAGCTGAGCTATCAGGCACTAAGCCCCACCCTCTGAGACACCCTGCTACTACCATCCATTTTGTCCCCAAATATAATTTGTCGTCGTTGTTGTTGATCTTATCTAAATATCAATTTGTTTGACACAAGCCATCTATTCAGTATTTGTCATTGAAAGACATTTTCTATTTCTAAAAGCCTGAAAGGTCTGAAACAATGGCATGCAATGCATCTGCAGCAATCTGCAAAATCCATACATTCTAACAAACATCACTCACTCTGAATATTAGCAAAGAAAATAATTGCTTTATTCGCTGAGAGTTCAATTTCACTAGCTATTATTGCTCTAGGTGAATTCTAATCTAAATGAATTTGTGTATAGCTGTATTAGCAACAAAAACAATGCATTTTACTGTGGAAAGAATGCGTCAGGAACAATCAATATGCTCAGTAAGCCCAACGTAATTATCTGAGTCCCTTGAAGGGTGGTAAACCCAGTTGCAATTTTGAAGCATGAATATCCAGCGCTTTAATTTAACTTGGTATCAAAACAGCATACTGAATGAGGAGCTTAGGTTTAAAGCAGAGTTGTCCAACCTTTTGGCTGCCAAGAGCCAGATGCCTTATTTGAGAAAGGTCCACAGATCACACAAGCAATAGTTTTGTGTTTTCCCTTCCAGAAACATAACATCACCCTCTCTCAATTACTCTCTCTCACTTCCTCTCTCACATTCTCTCTCCCCTCTAAAACGCACATTCCCTCTATCTCTCTCTCTCTCACTCCCCCTCTCTCCCGCGGGCTGCCTGTTGAACCACACTGGTTTAAAATCACGTGCACCACAACTAGTTGCAGAGATGTAAACAATGGACATTCAGCATCTCAGGCATATGCACGTTATTAAAAAATTACTACAGCTAAACAAAAACTCTGTAGCATTGGTATAAGATGTAGAACATAATTATATAAATAAAAGTGAAACTAAATAGCCTGATCTGATAGTTTAAAGCTATACATAAAAGTACAATTATTTGATTTCTTAAGACAAATTGTACAAAGGATGAACAAATCCTTATTAAAAACAGCTAAGTATCTGATTTGAACATCAAATAATAATTATATCAAATAGGATTTAGTTGTATCATGTGCTGATGTCCTCCCGACGTGAAAGGAGCTCTTGCAAATGTAAGGATTATTATGTTTTACTAAACAAATGCTTTATTAGATTCAATATATTTGTGGTGCAAGAGTTTAGGGTGTAGTCTGAAAAGGGAAGGAGTCCTGTAGCTCAGTGGTTAGAGCACACGCTTTGCAAGCGAGAGACCCGAGTTCAATTCCAGGCAGGGCGAAACCTTGGGCAAGTTTCCTTACTCCACACACCTAATAATAATCCCTCCAAAACCAAAAACAATAATAAATTGGTCATTTGCAATCTACGACTGTTTGTGGGACACTGCTGTGCACAATTGGCTGCCGCGTTCGCCCACAAATATAAGTCAATTCACTTTACAGTATATTTTGTGAAGCACTTTTGGACTTCTAGAAGACGTGAAAAGCGCTATATCAAATGCAAGCATTATTATTATTATAATAAGGAGACCAAGTTTGAATAATAGAGATGGGGATGAATGAACAATGGAATTATTTCATTCCCACTTGGGAGTTTTTAATTCAAGTGACTTTGGAAATCAGTGAGTTTCAAAGCAAAGATTTTCCTCAGGAATTATGGTGATTGTATTCTTTCCTGTGTTCTCATGTAGGTTTCTGAATTGGCGTAGCATACTGAACAGAATATCAGCCTGGTTCAGTTGATAGCACTCTTGACTCTGAGTAAGAAAGATATAGATTCAAGATCAATGTCAGGACTCTTAATTCACAGTCCAGGCCTACAGTCCAATACAGTGTTGAGGGTGTGCTGCATTATAGGAGGTGTTTTCCAACGGGTGATATGTTAAACTTTGGACCTTTGTGCCTGTCCAGGTGGATATTAAAGATGACACAACCCGATTCGAAAAAAGAAGGGATGTGTCAGGCCATGTGTCCAGGCCAACAATTTCCCAGTTAAAACTGACCATTCACTGGCTGTTTGTGAGACATAGCTGTGTACAAATTGAATGCTGTGTTCATCTACAAAATATCATCACCACGCCTCGTAGTAAATCCAGTGAAGTGCTAAGACATTCCCCTGAGGTGAAATTAAAATATGGGCTCTTAGGTTCATTAGATTCCTGACTGTTCTTTGCAAGCATCTTTGTTGCACAAGTCAAAGCACCAAAAACTGCTATTACAAGCAGTTATACCTTTGTATTCGATTTTTAAGAGATAATGATGCAAGACTTTATTTAATGGTTATATAATGACACCAAGAGGATTTGGTTTCTCAAACCATTAACTCCCAATGAAATAAAAATTGGAATGAAGATATTCCTTTTTAAAATGTTTTCTCCAATATTCTCTCCTCCTCCTAACTAAATGTCAGGTAAGGTTCAATGGGCGCTGGTCATTATAGGGGCTGATACTCCCGACACACCAATGAGGGAGCACTATGTGGTTGGATGAGCATTACATCACCTGATCAGTTGAACATTAAAGTTCCCCGTAGAAATGTTTAAAAAGTGAAGGGAATTTCACCTGGTATCTTGACCAACAGTCCCCCAGTTAAAAAAAAACAAGTTATTCACTTCACGGTTGTTTATGGGACTTTCCTGTAAGCAAACTAGCCCTAGCATTCACCTACGAATGCATACAATAATTTTTCGGCATAATAGGAACCAAAGTATGACATTGTAGGAGTCATTTTGTACATCGATGTTTGCTCCCCAAAAAAACTCACCCATCCTAATCGCAGAGCTCAGGATTCTCACCTTCAGATGAAAGAGGGACCCTTGGATATAGCAAAGCAGAAATCTTCATTCTGCTGTCGGCTGGCAGCATTTTGGTGGTGAGTTAGCGGCTGCCAACTTGCTGATGAACTGTCATATTAATTCTTTGTGAGATCTGAGGCCCTCTACAGTACTTCCTACCAGACTTTAGAGGATCAAGCTGTCTTTTACATAATTTTATATATATATTATAAGGGGCATTTATTGTACCCAGGAATAGCCTAGGGACCTATCATGATGTATGTGGTTAGTTAAATGCAAAGAATATAGAAAAACACTGAATGATAACAAAAACACGCTATCCCTTCCATAAACAATATATACTTGCAAATAACAGTATATACATGCAAGATACATGCAAATAAATGAAACCAAGTATTGAGAATGCAATTTAAAGAAAAAGACAGCAAAATAAGACAGTCAGGAATCAACGCACTTACATTACCATTCTACCCAACTAACAAACTATTAAAAGGAAAAACTGATTGGAAAGTCAGCTGGGAATAAAGAGGACAGCTCTTATCTGGAGGACATGATAAACAATGCAGAAAACATACAATACTGATAAAGCATTCAGAAAGAGGCATCTAATAAATACTCGGTGACATAGTAAATCTGGATCTAAAATGCAAACAGCTGTAGCAGAGAACCTGACACAGAACAAGTTTATCAGACATCTGGTCTCTCACTGAGAGAGTCAGCAATGACCTGCACAGAAAGCACAATGCACCAAAAATATCAAATAAAAATTCAGTCTAAAGCTAATGCGCCACACTCTTCACAAAGGTGACAATTTGAGAGCAGTACACATACATTAATGTGTCACACTGTTTTTTGGGGTCACCTGGACATCTGACACATGCAGAAACCTATCAACATGCTTCAGAGCTTCCAATCCAGGCAGATACATGCCTGCCAGCAAAACATGGAAATTCCTGTGCTTGAATGGAATGCATTCTTCTTTCTCAATTCTCAAGAGTATTAAGCATAGATTCACAAGAGCCAAACCTTCAGGAACCCAGAGTGTGTGTTAGGGTACTCCTGAAGTGTAACCAGCTAAAACCACACAACTTTTCATTGAAAACACCATCTGGCATGATTGCTTGCCTTTGCTTGTCACAAGGACCAACCTACCAATTGGGTTTTGGCTTGCAGAGTTAACAGAAGAATCCCTGGCCTCAGTGAATGGTCTATCCCTCCCAAGTGGTACCGATAAGCCAAGCTAGTTGGTCTCCCATCAGCCGTGCCCTAGAGTATTGCTGACCCACCTGATTTAAGAACTGGGTGACTAAGACCACTGCAAAAGATTAACTCAATTCTGATATTTTGTTACCAAGCAGGTCACCAGTTCAGCTCCAAGGAGACTCTTCTTGCCTACCCCCTCAAGGAAGATAGTCATCTCACATTCCAAACAGCCCATCCAGCTCCTTAAGTCTCACTTCCTGAAACCATAACTCAATGAAGACGAGAAACCAGGCCCAGAATAATTACACTAAAAGCTATTATGCACCACATTAACAATTTAAATTTATATAGTGCCATTCACAAAGATGGGACACTAAGCAAGAGAGGGGAGAGAGAGGTAGGGATGGACATGTAGAAAATTTAAATTCCTGACTGTGACAAGGAAGACTAAGATTTCTTAAAGATTTACATGTAGGTTTGCTACTCACCCTGATCACTTGCATGCATCAGTTTCATTAGAATGGGAACACCAACAACAACTTGCATCGATATTGTGCCTTCAACATGAAAGATGGTCTCAAAACACTGATGCCAAGAAGTTTTGGTGCTCACATATCCCCTGGACGTGAGAGGCGCTATACAAATGTAATTTGCTGCTGCTGTTGTTTATAATAAGGTGGTGTGCAGACAACACAACCGTCAGGTGTTCATGGCTTTGTTTTCTCTCTCCTTAACACAACACACAATTTGGCCAATGGTTTATTTTAGCATCTAATACCCCTGGAATTAGCTTAGCAAGATGTGTCTCTCCAGGGGGAGAGTGAGCATTCCATTCTAATTCACCACAATTTCCATATGTAGATGGAACTCTAAAGTTTGGTTTGGATACTCTAAATTAGATGTCTGCTACTTCAGAATTGCCCTTCAATTCTCTTACTGATCTTAAGACTCCAGGAATGTTAATAACATCTTGTCACAACTATGAACGAAACTTGAACAGGAACACAGAGAAATCCTGGAGTGAAATAGAATTTCACAGCAGCTGGTGAAATGTCTGATTAGAATAGATTTGGTCAGGCCAACTGTTATGTTTGTTGAAAGATGCTTACAATGCTATATGTAGATTAGAATGCTATATGTAGATGGGTGCTGATACAGCTCAAACTCTGCTGGTCAGATTTTAATGAAGTTGTTTTAATTTATGAGGCTTGCAAACATGTTTCGTTTGCACAATGGACATTTCCAAAAGACTGCAAAACCTGCCAAGGAACAAACTTCAACACTTCAAGTGTCAACAGTATCCATTCATCAACTGCATTAGACATGTCATTTTGCAATAATCACATTTTTTAACCTAGACTACAGTGACCTTCAAAGAAAAGAAAAGCAAGCAAAGAGTAGCTTTATTTTCCCTCCTAACCTACTGATAATTGCAAAACACATTGCCTTTATATTGGGAGGACGTCTCAAAACACTTGACACATCTGGTTGGGCATCCGGGCAAGCAAGTCGGAGGGACTTTGAGATAAAGATCTGGAAAGCAGGAGCAGAATGGCTAAAAGCCCGCTTACCGATGGTGGGGTGGATAATGCAAACATGAAGCACATCAGCATATTTTTATAAATTGAGAGTTCTTATATTTGTAATTTTGTGTGTGGGAACTGAAAGCCCGTGAGTATATCTGCCCTTGGGGATCTATTGAACCCGATTGGGAAAGTAATGTTGTTAGCAAAATCCTTTTCTCCCTGAATACCTCAATATTAATGCGATAATGTTCATCCCTACTTATGAGAATGACTCACATTAGGAACCGGATGTCATAGTGGGTTTAACAGAATACTTTTTACCTTGGGGATAAAAATACAGTAACATGAGTAAACCTGTCGCTCCTTCAATCCTGCCCTACCATCAAGTCTATTGTAACTCTTTATACTTCCCTGTCCTTTCTCCTTATAATCTAATATCCTAACTTACCAAATACATTATATCCATCTTGCTTCAATGCATCAACCAACTCTGTATCTATGCATTATGTTACATATTCTCACAACTTTTTGTTCAAAAATCTGGGCTTGAGTTTTCGGTCAAGAGATCAAAAGTCATCAGTCTTTAATGCTGCAAAATTCCTACAAATGGATGCACTCTCTCATCACAGCAAACAAATGAAAAATATAGCACTCTTTCCCGTGACAGGTCTTACGGGGAACAGCTGATATGGCAAACACAATTGATACAGATAAGAGTGCTCTTCATAGACTCAGATATATGTGAGTTGCTCCGATAAAAGAGGAGAATGATATAATCTGCATTAAGATGACTGGATGAAAACTTTGAAAGTGTGAATGCATCAAAACAAAATCTGAACAATAATAAAGCGCTCCTAGAACAAACTATATGTAAGCAAGTTTTCCTTGAAGCACTCATGTTCAATAAGAGGCAAAGAGTGGACAAAGTATTCCTGGCTGGGAAAAAAATTCCTTTTATATCGTACAATATTGGGGAGAAAACCTGCACCAGCACAGCCAAATATAGAAATAATTTTAAAGGCTGTCAACAACTACAAGTTTTCTCAGAATATAACACTTCATAACACAGAACATGTTTTTAAAAACTACTTTAAAATTGCTGCTCATCACATCAGCTACTTACCCGAATCAAATTGGGCAGGTTCTTGCTGTTTCCACAGAGACCATGTCCGGTCTCGCGAAACCGCTAATAGGAATTGGTCGTCAGGTGAAAATGCCAACTGGGTCACGGTCAGGCTGTGCAGTGGCAGACTGAGCAGTTGTTTCCAACTGCAAGTACTCCACAAAATAATTGCTGCATACTCCATTTTAGAGGCCTATAAAACCACACAGGACAGGTCAGCAAAACAATCTTTTTATTTCAGTTCCAACCATCCACATGAAAAAAAACATAAATGTGCACTTTCCTTGAGAACAATTGGATTTGTTCAACTATTTCTATAGTTTCTTTGAAAGAAAAACTGGAAGCTGAAATAGAGCAAGTTTAAATAGTGCAGACACCAATGAAATATACGTTTTGGTCTGTCTGGATTCCTTCCATAACATCTCTATTTAAAACAAAAAGGGAATTATTGGTTTGTTTTAAGTGATCTCAACTAATGTCATGATGGAGTGGCCTCGAGTGTTTTGGGGGAAGGAGGAACTGGAAAGCGAAACAAAATGAGGATTCTCAGTCCTGATCCAGTGAAGTATACTAGAAAGTACAGTATAGCCCTAATTCTACCCTTGTCCTCACTTACAAGCAAGTGTGGAGCAAGAGTGAGGGAGGGACAGAACCAGGTTCAGCTATGATGCCACAGTCTCCAACTCACCCAGAGTCAAGCACCTTGTCATTGTTTGCACTCATAGGTTAAGGATGTAAACCTTGCAAAGTATTGAAGGGTTGCTTTGCCAATAGAACTTCACTCCTGCATGAGTCACCACTTTCAGGGGAGAAGTGGGAGAAATTGGAATTGTTTAAATTTTCTAAGGTACAATCCAGTATCCTTAATAAACACTTTTAAATCTATGGCTCTCCACAAGCTCTCAATAAGTTTGGTTAAACACATCTTCTACAATTTGTGTCGTGCCAAATAATGCATAATCTTAGGCTGCACACCTCCCTTAATATGTGTGTGAGGAACAATTCAAAATAGGACAAATAGTCTGGAGAGAGACAATGAAAGATTGATGCTGTATCCCTCAGATTCATTTTTATTTAATCCAGTACAAAATCAGAACTCTCTTATTTTAAAATATTTATACAGGTTATGTGCTCAAAAAGAACATAAAAACTTAATTAGCTAAAACAAGCTTGCTTTCATCTGATACTTTCCTGTCAGATATGCACTTAAATGAAAGCTAACGTAAGCTGAAGCTTTCTTTTGGGTAATATGGAAAACACTTAATTGTCAACACTAGTGCTTTTTATATAATAACTGAGATCATGCTATGCCTAGTACATAACGATTGAGGAAGGTCCAGGGCCATGATAAATCACATTTCTGTTACCATGGCTTCACATTGTTAGCTTCTGATCTAATTGAAGGAGTCCCACAATGCTCAATGTATAGTTACCAAATTAATTTAGAAATGTGAACCATACTATAACAGTATGCAAACTGCAGCCAGAAGTTCAACTATACAACTAAAGGATTTGCGTCAGTATTCTTTAATATTCAATCAGATAACCAGTGTTCAGTATTATGAGACATTTCAATAGAAGATGCTTTCCTTTTTATTGAGGAAAAGGCTAAAGTTGCTATGACACAGTTATGGTTTGGCGCATGGATTGACAACCCATCTACCATAACTCCTGAACATTAAATGCACCACAATTGGATATGCAAACAATCTTAACAGAATAATAAGAAATTGCTTTGTATTAAGTCATCTTTTGACAAATATAACATGTAATTATTCAAGTAAAATAAGTGAATAATTTTAATCCAATATTGAATATTGGATTCAATATTAATTATCTTCCTATATTAACGCACAATACCTTACAAGCTGATGCCAACACTGTCCTTGAGGTATTGCAGGCAACACAGAATACTTCATACCCATGCCCATACCTATTCAAAAGAAAATAAGTATTTGATTCACAAACAGTAAAATGCATGCTGTAAGCCCAACTGTTGCTTAGGTGAAATATTCAATGATACTCACCATGTATACGTTTGTACTTTAGTTGGGGAAAAGTACAATTTATGTAAGCAACATGATTTGTGCTTATCATTAAGAAAAACATGCTGTGCATCCAACTCTGTTCTTCACCAACACAACATTTTATCAAGGTTAATGCAAATTGTTTTGTTATAGTTGGGGGTGACCAGACAATTAGACATGAAGTGTGTTTTGCTCTTTACTTAGCTCGAGGTTAGGGTGTAAGCTTTGCTCAGTCATTAGCATTCTCACCGCTTAGTGAAAAAGTTTGGGTTCAAGCCCCATGTCGGGATTTTGAGCTCATAGTCCAGGCTGACAATCCAATGCATTGATGGAAAAGCATTACATTGTCATAGTGCCATACTTTAAATAAGGTCCTGTCTGCCTGTTCAAATGGATGTTTAAGATCCCATGCCACTATGGGAAAAGAGAATGGAGCTTCTCCCAGTGTTCTGGCTAACAGCCTTCTAGACAGAATTGGCCATTCACTTCATGGCTGTTTGTGGATATTGATGTACGCAAATGGCCACCAGTTGCCAACAAATACACAGAGGGTACACGTTACAGTAATTTTTGTGAAGCTCTTTGAATCGTTTTAATGATGTGATAAAGCGTTATGTAAAGGCAAAGATTATAATATTAGACTAGATATATGCTCACTGAGTCCCTTTAAAAACACATAGAACGCAGTTTTGTTCAGAAAGTTCTGGGAAACATTTTTCTCTCTCATCTTTTAAAGATAGAGAGCTGCAGTTCAATGTGCACGCTAGCCAGTCCTCCAGTGCTTCACCCATATAACAATTCTTCCTGCGTTTCAGACAATGGGAAGAGGTTGTGGGGTAAGGCCCCACGTCACAACTTGAGCTCACAGTCAGTCTAGTCTGATACTCCTGTGTATTTCTGAGAAAGCACTACATTGTCGGAGAATATCCCTTTGGTTAAGATATTAACCTGAGGTTCCACTTGCCTGTTCAGTGAATGTTAAAGATCCTATGGCACTAATTGGTAATTCACCTGATAATTGTGGGAGCTTTGTGAAAAAAAACAGGTGCTACCATGAGAAAAAGTTACTGCAATCAACAGTAAATTATGTGTGAAGCATTTTGACTTTTGATATTATAAGCACAATATTAAAATACAAGAATTTATTAATTCATCATAATTTCTAACTGTAAAATAGTCAGACAGCTTGGTTTTTTTCTTAAAATTCTATATTCATTTGGTCTGCCAGACATCTTTTGGTCTGCCGGAGTCCTGTGACTCAGTGGTTAGAGCACTCGCTTTGCAAGCGCGAAACCTGAGTTCAATTCCAGACAGGGCGAAACCTTGGGCAAGTTTCCTTTCTCCACACGCCTAATAATAATCCCTCCAAAAAAACAAAACAATAATAAATTGGTCATTTTCAAACTATGACTGTTTGGGACTTCCACATATGTATGCAACTTACATGTGGAAATTTTCCCATCTCTGGAAAGGAATGTGCACTCACTCCCTGGAGGCATGCACCTTGCTTACCTAATTCTGGAGAGCATTAAGTTATTTTATCTTTTATCCCAGAGTATGTGTTAGGGTTCTGCTAGTTTGACCAACTAAAACCATAGAGCTTGTCATTGTGAGCTGTCTGGCAAGCTCTCTGTTACTTGTCCAGCTATGGCCACCCTACCCATTAGGGTTTTGACTCCCAGGGTTAACAGGAGCTGGGTAGGAAGAATCCCTGCTGGCAGTGACTGGTCTGTCCCTCCACATCCTGCCAATGATCCAGGTTGGCTAGTCAGCAGTGCCCAGGAGTATTCTGGACCTACCGCGTCAAGAACTGGATTACCAAGATTACAACAGAAGGTTGATTTGCTTCTGGCATTCCATTCCCAGACACACCACGTTGGAGCGGATCAACACATAAGAATTTGCTAGGTATAAAAAGACCAAGGTCGATTTAGCTTGCCTTCCACTATCCTGGTAGTCGCTTGACATGTTGTTTCCCAAACTATATACTGTATCCCAAGGTATTATTTTCCAGCAGAAATGTATCTAATTTGGTCTAGAAACAAACACCATTTTCTGCTTTCAATGTCTCCCAAAGGAACCTGTTCCATAAGTTTACTACTTGTAAACTCCAAGTGAAAGACACTTACCTCCCAAGGAGGATGGTTTCTCAAAAATGGCACCAATACCATTTTCATAACAAGATAAAACCAGCACAGAATAGACTCCTCCTGTGCTGCAATCTCATTCTATTATTCTTACGAAGATAGTGTGGAGTTGAGAAATGGCAAGACCATTTATGATCTAAATTCCTTTCTTGCAGCTAAGACTCTTTGCCTCACAAGACCTTCGCTCCGATCAGATCTCGGATCCAAAATACAATTTAAGTTGTGAAGTGTTTTTTCCAAGGGTTTGAATAAGAAAATTGGCAGCATCTACTTTTCAAATGCTTTTGCAATCCCAATCTGGGGAAAAGCGAAGCCACTCGATTTTAAATCCTTTTATTTCCAAACAATTATTAAAAATAGGTCATAAAGCAGTACATATGATTATTACAGATATATTATCGCAATTTCAAAATAGCTGCACGTTATTTCCCTGAGCAGCATTGCTTTGATCCAATTTAAATGAGTTGGCTGACGTTTACAAATTGTCTAATGACGTACACAAGCCCCACAGGAAATGTAACGCTTTTTCAGTCTGATGTTTTTTCCCCAAAATAATGTAGCACTGATGGCAAAAATAAATCTGTAGTAAGAACATTTCACCCCTCACTTTTAAGTGAAAAGTACTGGTATGCCTCTTCACATGGCTTTCCCTTCAAGATGACTGCACTTAATTAGCATCATTTTTTTATTTTAAGAAAGAAAAGCCTAAAGCATTCTTCTAACCAAAATGAGGATTGAACACTGGTGCTAAAGGTAGAGTAGAAAAAAAAACTCATACTCTGCCTAAGCTTCATTGACTTGACCCAATTCTGTCAATATAGCAAGCTTGTAAGCCTGGAATGAAATGGCAGCTCTATGGCAGCGCAAATGCGCTTCCAGGCTTTACTAATTTTCCACAGGATTTTTCTTTCATGTAGGAGTCCATACATTTTATATCCCAATTCCTCTCATATCATTTCCATTAAGAGCAAGATGAACTTGTAATTTACTGAAAACTGGACTTTGTTATATGCATTCATACCATGCATCTTTCTGGTGTAGGACATGAGAAAACAAGAGAGAATGATGATGGATTCCATTCTCCCTCGCCCAGAAATCTACATTAAAAATAGAGAGGAAGTAAATGCGGCTATGCAGAGATTCAGTTTTCATACACAAGCAGAATCAGCTTTGAAATCTCTGCATCCTCTAAGCACTGCATTTTATTGAGGATTATGGGAACATGGAATGCTTTACCACAAGTGGTGCTTTGAAGATCAGACCATGACAATATTTAAATAGTAATTAGATAAACATTTGAAGAGGCAGAATATAAAAAGGCATGGGGGAAACAGGAAATTGGGTTTAAATTTGCTAGTTCCTTATTGCCAGTTTAGAAAATCACTGAGATCATCATCCCATGCAAGAAATGCAGGTTCCATTTCTTATTAACTGTTGGGGGAGTTTGTAAAGGGAATAAAAACAGAAAAACCTGAGTATGTATGAATTTTATACAGCAAACACAAGGCACTACTGTCAGCTGATTACAAGGGCAGTTATCCAATTTAGGGGCTGAAATGATACCTTAAACTACAAGAGTAATGTTCATGCACTCTATCTAAACCATACAGCATGATCACATTGACAGGAATCTTCCTCTGAAAAAAGTTTGATCAATATCCTTCTTTCAATCAAATACCATTTTAAATTGGATTTCTGGCAGCAGCTTCAATAATGGCTGTTTTCAAAAAGCCATTTTGGGGGACCGGACTAGATTTTGTGGGACCTGATTATATTTGATAATAAATGATACAAACTAAAATTTTCTGTATAATTATTCCTAATAAAGTCACCACGTATTCATAATACAGTCACCAGGATGGGTACTATAGCTAATGTTTGGAAATACTGTTGATGTACCCAGAGTTTAGCCAGATTCTTAATTTTAAACACATTGGAAAATCACATCATATAATCTGCATTAATCTGCAATTAAGGGTTGTATTTTGCAGCCGTTGCTTTGGTTGTATTCCAATGATCTAATAGCTATGAACTCCAAAGTAAAGAGACTGGATCAAACATAGAGAAGACTATAAATTAAATTAAATGTTCAATGTGCTAAATATACTGAATGTCTTAAATTCTGTTTACAATGTCATTTGCAGGTCGGAGCACATCTACCACATCCACATCCCCCACCCGGCGGTCGGGCCTTCAGCCTCTCTGTCCCCACCCTTTGGAACTCCATCCCACATTCCCTTCACCTCGCTCCCTCCCTCCCTTGCCTCATCTCAAAACCTTCCTCTTCGACTACGCCTTCAGCAACCCTCTTACCCTCCCTGCCCTCCACCCTCCCCAATCCCCTAGCTCGGGTCCAAATCCCTGATGTCCAGCTCCTTGGGATGTCCTTCCGACTTGAAAGGTACTTATACACATGTTGTATTGTAGTGTATCACATTTAAATGAAACCTGATTAATTATAAAGGGTAAACTCTCTGAATTCTTTTATCCTAATTTGTCTACAACAGAATCAAATTGAATAGATTTCACCAGCTCAGAACCTAGACTATATTATACCTGGTTTCACTCAAGTATTCGCTCAGTTCTTCACAGCATAGGTTAATGAAAATATTCAAAGGTATTAACAAAACAAAGGATATTATGTACCATTTCACTACTCCAAAGAACCAGAAACATAAACAAGATAGTTCGGTCTCACAACTAAATGTGTTAGTGTTTATTGTAAAGTATTAGATGTTCCTTCAATTTAACTGAGAAAACCAGTGGTGAAAGAATTCACAGCAAATTTGTTTGACTGAGAAAATGATGATTAACAAACCGCTACAGGTCATTCCTTATGGAGTGCTGAATTTTCACTAACTTTTATATTTTTAGGGCATAAAATGAGCCAAAAGTGAAGAATTAATTAGCAGTGTTATTTCAGAGATAAGTGCTGAAATGAATTTCAATAAAGACAAAGCTCTGACTTGTGTCATCAGGTGATAATTATTATTTATACTCTGAGCTTCAGGTTGGATATGTTAAACTATATTCATCTATGAACTGATCACTTGCAATCACCACCATGCTGTCATTTAATAAAGCAACACTGAAAAGTCAGATTACTGAGCAGGTAACTTACAGCTTCTGAATCTCCACCCAGAGTGTGTTCTGCAAAAGATGATCTTCTGGAGGTGGTTCTGTCGAGAATTAATGAAAGACAAGGAGCCAAAAAAGCACCATCCATTAAAGCATCTAGCTTGATATTTTACAAGACCTAGGCATCATGTTTTAATATTTTAAACCACAAACAAATAATAAATCTTTTTAAAAAAATGAACCCTTTTTTCAAATTGCAGGACTTTACATGAATTAATGGAAGAAATAAAAACTTCTTTATACACAGGAAAAGTAAGCCAATCAATCTGGACAGCACTTGGTCATCTCCTAAAGACCAGTCACAGGGCAGAATGCCTACCCTGCTCCCCTTGGCATAGATAACTAGCAAATAACACATATTGCTCTCTAATAGAATGTTACAACATAAGAATAATCAATATCAACACATAATTTGGGTCTTTTACCAGACTCAATGCTAATGTCAATCAGTAACAAACAGAAAGATTGGTTAAAATGCTGCTATGAAGTTCCAACAATCAGTTTTTTCTTTTAAATCTCAATAGTATTGTATTAATCTTCAAAGGAAGCCACTACAACTTTCAAAACATCCATCCTTTTATATTTCTATCGCACATTATTATGAAGTAGAGTTTGAAAAGGACACAGAACGAGGAGCCATTTCTTAATCAACAGAGATTAGATCAACAAATAGTGTTTCAAATACCACTGTCAGTTAGTTAAGGATGCAAGGAATTGGTTGATTTGGTTTGTCATCATTGGAGCCATTAGAAGTAACAAGGAAAATTATATCTGAAGGAATCTGAATTCCCAGTTAGGCAATTCATCACACAATGCCGGCCCTGTATCAGCATTAGCATCAAAGATTAGCTGCAGAGCGGTAGACATGATGAACACAATTCCAACAAGAAGTAGCAGATGCTGTGTTGTTAACTCCCTCAAAAAGGAACTGAATAAATACAGTAGCTGCTTCAGACCAGAATTGGAGAATATAGGGATTAGTGTAGACTATGGTTCGGGGCTGCGGGAGAGGAGAGGGGAACGATATTGTCTATGGAGAGGAGACTAAGACTGAATAGAAAGATAGGTGTTTGGAAGAATATTCCTCAATGGTGTTTTTTTCATTTAACATTTTCTCATGTTACTTCTAACAGGTATTCAGAATGTGATAGAATGTGACAGGTTTAAGCAAAACCACGTGAAAATATGGACAAGCGAAATCCAGTGAAACTGTTTAAGCTTGGATTGAGAAATTAATGTTTATAGACAAGGAATATAAGAGCTTGTGCTTCCATGTGCACACATGGATAGGAAAGAACACAATGGATGGGAGAGAGAATGTAAATATTTTAGTGGAAACTATAAATAGTGGCTTCTCAATATTTCATATGGATAATAATAAAGTTACAAAACATTTCCATTTCCAGTCCTGTAGCTCAGTGGTTAGAGCACTCGCCTCACAAGCGAGAGACCTGGGTTAATTTCCCAGCAGGGCAAAACCTTGGGCAAGTTTCCTTACTTCACACGTCTAATAATAATCCTTCAAAAAAAAATCAGTCACTTCAATCCACGACTGTTTGTGGGACACTGCTGTGTGCAATTGGCTGCCGCGTTTCGCCCACAAATATACAGTCAATTCACTTTAGTCTCTTCTGTGAAGAACTTTGAGACGTTTAGAAGACGCAAAAAAGCACTCTATCAAATGTAAGGATTATTATTATTATTATTATATAGATAAATTAACCGCCCCATAAACTGCAAGGCAAATCTTCTTGGGTCTTATAAGCACTTACCTGTAAGGCTAACTGCCTGGAAATAAACCTGAGGGTACTGGTCAGCAGAACTAAGTGGTTTATTTCTATCTGTTTCCCTTGTATTTGCAGTCAGATCTCCTAGGGAGAGGGGTGAAAAGATTATTTTGCCTTGATGAACAGTTGAAGAGTACAACAACTTACATTTACAGTGTACGGCACCTTTCATATCACGAAGATGTCCCAAGTCACTGGACAGTCAAAGGCACCCGAGCTGGGGAGTCAAGTGGGGAGGAGGGAAAAAGGGTTGGAGGTGGGAAGATAACTGAAGGCACAATCAAAGAGGAAGACAGGCCTTGAAGGAGCTAAGGGAGGGAGAGCCACTTCGGGACAAAGTTCCAGAGGGTGAGTTCACATCAAATCTGACTTTTTATATTTTATCCTTATAAGATTTGTGTAGCATCCAATATGTATATATATATTAAAAATACAGCACATTTTCAAAGCTAGAAGAGTTGTTTCATTTAAATGTATTCAATATGAAATCCATAAGCAAGAAGCACTTGTCGTTTTCTTTTTTAAATAATTTCTAAGCTGTGCATACAATTATACTTTAGAGAGTAAGCATGAAGCTGCTTTTCCGTGCATCACTGATTTGAACTTTTAAAAAAAGTACACTGGTGTTTAAAAAGTGGATATTGGGAAAACAGCTGCATAAATAGAACCTTGCACAGGAAAAGGAGCCTTGAAAATTTAAGAATGTCTTATGCAGGAAACCCCATGTATGTCGCACAAATTTGTTAGAAAACTTAGCTCCAACCAGAGATCTCAGCAGAGCCAAATTCTTGACGTTGGAAATGATGTACCCTGGAGGAAGCAATTTATATTCTAAAGCACTTTTATGCTGCCGTTTTCCCAGTTTTTATACTGTCGCACTTTCACACAATTACTGTATTATCTAATGGCCCTGTTAGAAAGTACTTCTTAAATCAATGGTAGCTTCATTACTTTCAACATCTCAAGTAAGTGCAATAATAGGTTTGACTAGGGGTCCTCTCACAGCACATTCAATGTGCCAACCTCACACACAGTACCTCACCCATATCGAGGTATGGAGGGGTTTTGGTGCCTAAGGAACAATATCTTAAACAGCACCACCTTGGTAGAAAATGGCAGGATATTTAAAACAATGCAAAGAAAAGTTAACTGCATATAAAATGGTGCATCTTTACCAGTTTACAAGGTCCTTTAACACCTGAACACTTTAAAGCACCACACATGTAACCTTAGAATACTCAAACAAATACAGGATATGATTTCCTATACCTTCAAAGACAGCCTTGTTTGACAACCCTAAAGCTGGAACGCTGGCACCTTCAGGGATTTCTCCAGTCGCCTGCTGTAAGAGAAATAATCATTCTGGGCAGAGTACGCATATTTGTAGTAAGCATTTTTTTAAAAAAAATTAAAAATAATAATTTGGCCATTCAATCCATGGCTGTTTGTGGACAATGCTGTGCACAATTGGCTGCCGCATTTTTTCCCACAAAATATACAATTGATTCACCTTACAGTATATATTTGAGACGTCTCGAAGACGTGATAAGGCACTATATCAAATGCAAGGATTATTATTAAGTAAGCTCACATCCTTCATTATATATTAGCAGGATGTTGAAGTTTAACATCTACTGCTGTAAATTAGACATTAATGAAATTATATCAAATGCAAGGATAATTTATTATTATCACGTCATCAAGACGTCTAAAAGCACGACACAGGATTTTACTATAAAATCTAGTGACTGCTGTACACAAATTGCTACCATGTTTGCTTACAGATACAATGTCCCACAAACAAGTCATGAAGTGAATGAACAATTTTACCTGAGGGATTGTTGGCAAGGATATCAGAAGATCAATTGATTGCATTGAATTGATAGCATAGACTATAAGGTTCCAAATACTGCCATTAGATTGCTAACATCCACCTGAACAGGCAGATGGTACCTCGGTTTAATATTTCATCTGAAGGATGGTACCTCCAACAAGGCAGCAACCCCCAGCACTGCATTGGAGTGTCAGCCTGGATTGATTGGTTTATTTCCATCTGTTACACTTGTATTAGCTGTCAAAGTCCCAGCATGGTGTTTGAATGCACAATCTTCTGACTCAAATGTGAAAGTGCTACCAATTGTTCAATGGCATGAAAAAAAACACACTGGCATCTTAAAAGTCCTCTAACAACATAACCATCATTGGACTACCAGCAAAATCATCTGCAACTTAAACAGCATTTTTTTTAACCAGGAAATCCCCTTGAATACGCAGTTCGCAAGAATTGGCTCAGAAGCAAGATCTCGTCAGATCCAAAGTTTCATGAGTGTGCTACCATACAGAGGATTGTCGTTTATGTTTCAGCTGCTTTTGCCAGTAGTTATGCCGCTAGAGTACTTTTTCACTGAAATATCAAATGAAACATGACTAACAGAACAGCAACCATGGAGGACAGAAAAATGTCATATTTAATCAATCTCATCACCAGGCAACTTTCTTCATAGAATGATGGCAGTATGCATCTACTATCCATGAGCAAACACAAAACAAAAACTATAAGACAAACATTTGATGGAACACAAAGCATTCTTAGCTCCTGTGCAGTTTCAGCTACTTTTGACCAGATTGCCTGGGATTTTGACAAAGCACTACATTTCCCAGCACTCCCAACACATCAACATTGAATCTATGTTACAAAGTTCTGGATTAGCTGGGTTAATCAGGATATGCAATAAAGTAGGCTGCTTCTACTTATTGGTAAGGGGGCATAATAATATTCCTTGCATTTGATATAGCGCCTTATCATGTTGTTGAGACATCTCAAAGTGAGTACAGGGCACACTGTAGAATGATGTAACTTTGTTTTGTGGTTCAATGTGGCCAATCTATACATGGCAATGTTCCATAAACAGCCATGGAATCAATGGAGCCAGGACACCAGGAAAACTCTCTTTTCAAATAGCGCCTTTAACGGCCAGCTGAACAGGCAGGAGGGACCTCAATTTAAAGTCTCAGCTGAAGGATGGCACCTCTAAAATGCATCACACCCCCATCATTGCATTGAATTGATAGCACGCACTATAAGGTTCCAAGTCCCGATGAGGAACTTGAATCCACAAGCATCTGACTCAGAGGTGAGAATGCTACCAACTCAGCCTTGCTGACACACAATGAATAAAATAATTTGCAGCAGATCTAAATGGGAGTTCGAGTTCAAGAGAAACGTCTTCATGCAGAGAAGTGACAATGTGGAACTCAATACCAGAAGCTGTGGTTGAAGTAAAACACATGAATGTAAAGAAAACTTGATGCATGCATGAGGTAGAAGGGAACTGAGTGGAATATGATGGAGGAGATTCTTGTGGAGTATATATAACACCAACCTAGATAATTTATACAATACTTATACAATTTACACTTATGTAGCCCCTTTCATGTCAGGACGACATTTCAAAGTGCTTGCAAAGCACCTGAGTTGGGGATAGGAACTATTTCATTCCATGTAATTAATTTCTTCTATAACTATCAGGGCAGTGGGCACACGACAGGACCACAGTCCATAAAGGTTCACTGTCAGCTCCATGCTCAGTGGCTCTGCTTGGCGGGACAGAAATGAGAATGCAATACATAATGACTTGGGATTCTCTGAAAGTACATCAAAAAGCACACAGCAACATAAAGCTTTGATTTTTTAAAGAAATATATAAAAGTTCAATTTTTCTAGAAGCAATAGCCAATAAAAACTTACCTGACATTTCCAGTCTATGTTGCTGTACGGACTTCATTCCAAACACTAAAAGTGGGATACTATTGAAAACAGGAGCGTGCAATCGATCATTTTCAGAGTAAGACTTACAAGTGTAACATTTATTCTGTCTGACAAACAAGTCGAGTTGGGACTTGCTGACTGACAGCAGTGACATTAGTCTAACTTGTAGTTATTTCCCTGCAGTCCTTATATGGGTTCAGTACGAATATATCAACACATGGAAGACATTCCTTCATGATTGAAAATGTTCCTTTACAACTGAGTGAGCATAAGTACTTTTGTTAGATTGGATCTGCTCACCCAGAGTGAACATTTAGTAAAGCATATTTTGCTAAACAACTTGGGTAAATGTATTTCTGAAGAACATGCAGAATCATCAAGAATTGAATACATTAGACTTAAAGACTACAGGGTGCGAACTATTAACAGGACTAATCAATGGCAAACGTAGTACAGCATTATAAGAGTGGAAATGCCAGGGATGTTTTTATTAGCCATTGCTTCTATTCAGTATTGAAAAATTTTAATTTTATATATTAAAAAAAATCAAAGCTTTATGCTGCTGTGTGCTTTTCGATGCTTCAACCTTATGCAAAGCTTTGCTGCTTTTGAAAATATGTTTTTCAATTTTTGTTTCAGACACATAATTTACTGCCTTTTTATTTACATTTTTCAGCAACTCATATTGTGGTCAAGACAAATATAACCCTCTGCCAATACTGCTGGGTTTCTAAGTGCTACTCTGCATGAAGGGCATTATATAAATGTAAGCTGTTGTTGTTGCTGCTAAGTCAGTTGTGAGAGGGTGCAACAGTGGCAAAGAACAACTATTCAACCAGTCTTCAATCCTTCCCTGTATTATAATGGTAATAATAAAATGTACAAATAAAGATTATAAAACATAAAAAAAGCTTTTTAAAATACCATGTCCTGTATATGACTTATTCATTTTGATGTATCAATATTATCAGTCTTCAAGACAAATCATTTACTTTTCATGACTTACATTGGTTGAGAGAAGGTCCTCAACTGTGGTACCTGTGATGAAACTGAAGTTTTCCACAAAGTTTTTAGTGGCAGAGAAAACCCGAAGCACCTTCTCATCAGCACCGGAAACAAACTGAAAACGGCCAATCATTGCTAGGCACTGCATGTCATAGCCATGTATCTGTGGGCGTGCAATTTCATGCCAGGTCACCTATATAGAAAGAAAAATATACGTTAGTTTATCTCAGGTCATAGCACTCTTCCTCCTGCATTGGGATGTTATAGGTTCATGGCCCATGTTGTGTCTTGGTTCAAATGACGAAACTGACATTCCAGTTCAATACTGATGAAAGCTCTGCATTGTCAGAAGTGCTGCTTTTAATTGAGACATTAAATAAAGGTCTGCCTGCACAGGTGGGTGTTAATGATTCCAAGACACAGTTCAAAACGAAAAGGACATTTCAATGATGAAAGGATGAGTAGACTGGGGATATATCCTTATAAAAAATGTCAAGGGGCGATTGGATTGAGATATTTAAAATAATAAAAGGGATTGACAGGTTAGGTAAACTCAGCATTCTCCAAAATCAGGCCACTGTGTATTCCCTGCCCCACCATAAGCATCCATGCCTTCAACAACAATAAATTACATTTGTATAGTGCTTTTCACGTCGGGGATGTCCCAAGGCTCTGGACAGGAATTTGGACCTGAGCTGTGGTTGGGATCGGGGGCTGCAGGGCAGGGAGGGTAGGGGTAGGAAGGTGACCGATGGGGCGGTCAAAAATAAGGGTATTGAGATATGCCTCGAACAAGGTAAGGCAGGGAGCAAGGCGAAGGGACTGCGGGATGGAGTTCCAAAGGTTGGCGGCAGAGAGGCTGAAGACCCAACTGCCGAAGATGGGCGGGGGATAGTGGAGTAGGCCAGAGCCTGCTGAGCGGAGGCAACAGACAAGTTGATAAAGGGTATATAACAGAGGTAGGAAGGAGCAAGACCATGGAGAGCCTTGAAGGCAAGGCCAAGGACAAGGATTTTGAACTCTATCCTCTGAGGGATGGGGCGTCAGTGGAGCCAGTTGGGGGTGATGGGATCATGGAGCCCGGTGCGGGAGAGGAAACAAGCTGCAGAGTTCTGGATGATGTGCAACTTGAAGAGTTGGAAAGGCTGACAAGCAGGGAATGAGGGTTTTGGCAACCTGAGGGGTGAGACAGTAGTGGAGTCAGGCAATGTTGAGGAGGTGGGGGAAGGCAGAGAGGTTCATGCCACGGATGTGGGGTAGAAAGGACAATTGAGGTTCAAACAAGGTTACGTACTGGCTCAGTGAGGTGGAGTGTGCATCCATGGATGGTGATGCTGCCAGTGCCTGAGGTGTGGAGGCGCTGACAAGAGCCAATCAGGAGGGCCTCAGTCTTAACAACGTCCAACTGGAGTCACTATGCCCCAGTTCTTTGGAACTCCCAACATCAACCCCTCCACCTTACCCATTCTTTGCAGTATTTAAGGCCACACTTTCAGTTTATATTCAGTTAACTGTGTTTCTAATTTTGTATGGTCCCTACTTTTCTTTTTTTTAAATGTTATTTATCTGCCTTTCCAGGGACCATTCAGTAGCTGAGAACAAAAATATGTCCCCATCCCTTGACCAATCCTCTATAATCACCCAATAAGAAGCAAAATAGTGAGGAGGCTCTGATGATATAATGGAAAGGCAGGAAATCTGTTGTTCGGGAGGAATAAGACCAAACCACTAATGGACCTTTTTCTTCCAAACCTCTCTTTGATTCTGTAGCAGAATCCCCCTCTTTCAGCACTGAAGTGTCTAGATTGAGAACATACCATGTGGATTAATTGCAGCCATAGTAGTATCTACATTCTAAAAACATGTGGCTTAAAATGTTATTGTACCAATTGATTTCACTGCCAAATTGCTTTTAGAAAACTGCATTTTCCAAATGTATTGCTTCAACCAAAAATACCATAATCTAAAGGGCAATGAAATCATTTTAAATGCACACAAGTTTAAAAGCGTAACCTGATCCAATATCCCTCATAGGGAATATAAAATCCAAAGGTTTGGCTCAGCTCTACTGACCTTGTATACTTCTGATGCTAATCAGTGTTGCAAACATTACCTGTTCATGTTCTTTCCGTCTCCATGGAGCAAACAATCTGGTTGTCTGATCAGCGCCAACACTCAAAATAAACTCTCCCTCAGGATCCCAGCTCAAGTCTTGTACAGCTCCAAAATGTCCAGAAAGCACCACTCCTGGGCTCCATTCTCCCTGAAAGCATTTGAGGTATCAGTGTAACAGTACAGCTCACTTAGAGGCTGTTACAAATACAGATAGAATATTGGCATCAAATTAAGTGGTGTCCCCAATTAATGCGATTTGATTGCACACACAGAAATCAATTTTACATAGTGATTGTTCCATAGGAAACATCTACAGTTAAAAATAAAGCAAAATAAATCATAACCTCTATATGCACGATTGGTAAAACAAAAAAATGAAAAAAGGACACGATGGTAAGTGCTTGACTGCTTTTGCCTAATTCTTCATTTTATCTTGCTATTCAATGCTCTGTATCCTTCAAGTACAGCTATTCCAATTACATCACCTGGAAACTTAGGCTGATCGCAACAAGAATTAAAAGGGGAGGTTAGAAAACATTTCGTTTCCGAAAGGATGGTAGGAATTCTCTGCCACAAACAACCGTTCAAGCAGTGTTATTAAATTATTTTTAAAGGGAATTGGGTAAACATTTGAAAAGGAGGAATTTTTAAGGGTACAGAGAATGAGCAGAATGGTGCGAGTAAATTAGAAGGTTGATTTGGAGAAAACGGAGATTTGGAGATTAGTACAAATAACTTGATAATCAGGTAACATACTTTAATTTATGTGGGGGGTAATAATAGTTGACATTGAATTGACATAATAGGCAGATATGTCAATTCTAAACATATTTTCAAGTAACAAATTTCACAACCACCCTCTGGAACTTGGATATCTTCATCACAACATCCAGGAGTAACCCTCGACACATCAGGTTAGTTACAAATTTTTTTGCAAACTCCATCCAAATACTTTTGTCATCTGAAAATCCACTGAAGGAAATAATTATTAAGACACTTATTTTAGAACATAAATTTTAAAACAAAGATTCTGGAATAACTACTCAGACCAGGTTTGAAGGCCAACTGTACTTAAAGAGATTTATATAATAAAAGCGGCACCAGAACTAAACCGTGGGATGAAGATGCCATTTACACCATCAAGCTGGCTCCTTCTATAAGCCATTCAAAATCCACCATAACAAATTCACCCTTAGAATCTACTGTTGAACAAATGATCTTATAAAAACTAACAGCAATCATGACTTAAAATGCAGATTAAGTTTGAGACAATTCCTCCCCCACCCACCCACACCCGTACAAAATCCATTTGTTCCACACACATGATGTCACCATTAATGAGTTACTGCCTTCAAACCACTGAAACTACCCTGTGATATACTTTTGTTACTGTCTTCCATTTGTCTGCTATAGGAAGGGGAGAAAAGCAATGCCACAGTAGATAGTGGAAATCAGCGGGCTCCCGTGCTTAAGTTGCAATTTGGTAAGAAACAACAGCAATTTATTTAGCCCAGACAGAGGAATTTCATGAACTTACATGTGATATCAAATAACTTTTCAACACCTATTACATTCTCTCTACTTTCAATTTTTGTAATCGCTGTTAAAGAGGTATATTCCAAAGATATTGCTGACAGCTTTAACTTTCAAATTGAGAGCAGTTTTCACAGTTGAATTCAAAAAGCATGACTATGCATTTCTGTTCGGTTTTATATTAGGGGACTGACATTGGTGCTGGGAAATGGGACATTTTCCTTATTTGGCCTAAGTTGCAGAAAGCACTGCCAAGTCAGATATTGACAGAGTGCAGCTCCCTCTGCTCTGCTCCAATACTAGGTAATTATTTTAGAAGAACACTCACCAAGCATTCTAATGTAAAGTAATCTTTATGACATCTGATTGAGAAACTGCTCATTTTGTGTTGTGGCCTTACCCTCACAAGGAATAGATTGGAAGCTTCCTATGACAGTGGGAGATTCACTAACTTCAGAGAAAAAAAAATGTACAACATGAAATAAAAGGCAATTGCAATAATCTTCATTTTCATATGATTTATCCTTGCAATNAAAAACATTACTATACATTAAAATGCCGTAAAATAAAAAAACATGGGAGACTATCACTGGCAATACAAATTCTTCAATGTAAAAATTCACCACAGTCCTACAAGAGAGAATGATCACTGAGAATATATGCACATTAATGGTTGTCAAAAATACCATCCAAAAGCAGATTTGCTGAATAAATATTCAAGAGTGTGGCAAAAAAAATAATCTTTTTGAACTTTTTGAACTCCAGCCAGACCACTCAAACTGAACTCACAACACATACAAAAAAAAACCCTAGGATAATTTGGGTGTTTTTCTTGCCAAAAGTTGGGGTCTACTTTTAGCAGCCAGGTGGACATGTACTGCTTGCATGTTTGAAGTTTGCCACATACACATATTTTCTAACAAAAAAACGTCTCAAGAAGCTATGAGATTAAATGGATGATTTATTTCAAGCAAATCACAATTGTGCCTTAAAAGTTTACTTTATCCCTCAAAAAGAAAAAAAACTGTTTATCCAGCAAACCATGGGAGAAGGTTTGGAATCCCACCAATGGGTAAGTCCTCAAGTATGAAGGGTGCTGGATAAACCCAGATACACAGTCTTACATCCTTTCAGGAACCATTGATCCCTGTGTTTTTCTCTGCTGCATTTACAATTTTTACAAGATTCACCTATCTCAGTAGCGATCAATCCACAACCATTTGTGGGACACTGTTATTTGCAATTCGCTTCCGCGTTTCTCCCACAAAATATACAGTCAATTCATTTTACAGTATATTCTGTGAAGTGCTTTGAGACATCTCAACAACGTGATAAGGCGCTTTATCAAATGTAAGAATTATTATTACTTAACAAACCCCCAACAATACATCTCGGCAAATGTTATTTTACTCCCAAATCTACAACTAATTGAGCCACTGTAGTACATTTTAATTACTGAAAAGTCTGGTGTTCGAGATGAAGACAGGTACAACATACATGACTCCCTGATGTCAGATTGTGTGATAGGTAGCGAGAATAAAACAGCACTTTTAATACTGCTCACAATCTGGTTAAGCAGCTTTGCAATCAATCCAGTTTTGAACCATGATTCTGGAGCATTTGGAAGCCTTGATCTACTAAGTATCCCATTCTTCTTTGTTTTTTTTCCTTCCATCGGAGTCCTGTAGCTCAATGGTTAGAGTACTCGCCTTGCAAGCGAGACACCTGGGCTCAATTCCAGGCAGGACGAAACCTTGGGCAAGTTTCCTTACTCCACACACCTAATAATAATCCCTCCGAAACAAAATACAATAATAAATTTCTCATTTTCAATCCACAACTGTTTGTGGGATACCGCTGTGCGCAATTGGCTGTCGCATTTTGCCCACAAATATACAGTCAATTCACTTTACAGCATATTCTGTGAAGCGCCTTGAGAAGTCTAGAAGACGTGAAAAGCGCTATATCAAATGCAAGGATTATTATTATTATTATTTATTTTCTAATCCAATTCAGTGGAAGAAACTATTACTTGTTTCAATGGAAAATTAAGTCATCAGATGATCTACTGAGAGATGGCAGGGAATTAATTGCTCGTGATGAAAAATGGGCTTGATTGTTAATGTAGGTATCAAGAAGCCGTGCCCTGGGCCAATAGAAAAGTGCCGCTGCACTTTTCCCACGGAATCCACTACAACCACCCTGCTCAGCTACAAACCCGCTATAATTGCAGTGTCTGGCCCGTGGGCCTCTTGGCTGTTTACTTGACGTCACTGTGGGTGGGGAGGCTACAGACGCGCATGCACGGTACAGCGCAAGCGGCAAATGGGCTTCACTCGGAGGCCCATTATCTGTGTGTCTCTCTGTGTGTTTGTGTGTGTGGGTGTGTATGATTGTCTTTGTGTATGTCTCTCTATCTGCATTTGTGAATGTCTGCGTGTGTCTGCGTGTTTCTCTGTTTGTGAGTGTCTGTGTGAGTATGTCTGTGTCACCCTCTCCTCTATGTGTTTGTGCCTGTGCGTCTCTCTATGTGTTTGTGAGTGTTTCTATGTGCGTGTGAATCTCTCCGAGAATGTGCGTGGCTGTGTCTGTCAGTGTGTGTGTCTCTCTGTGTCCGTCAGTGTATGTGTGTCTCTCTCAGTGTGCGATGCTGAGCGCTGAAAGCTTCTGTAGCCTCGCTGGTGTACCCATTCAACCCCCACAAAAAAATTGCCACCCAGCTTTTTGTTAAAGAAACAATCAATATTTTTTTTGCAACAATCTAATATGCTTTGTTTCTTCATGTTTAGTTTTTAATCAATAAAATGAAAATATGTGGGTTGGGAGTAAAATGTACCAATTTCCCGCAGAATCTCCAAATCTCCCCGCAATTTTGGCAAATATCTTTTCTATTGGCCCAGCCCAGGACACACAAATGCCAGACAGAAACTTTTTTTTAAAAACATTATTTGTTTATCAAGCGTGTTATATAAAGCATCATTCACCATTTAATTAAATACCTGCCCCATACTGTAGACGTTTATTAGGCTGATGAGTCTATAATTTTCTGTAGTCTCATCATACCCCTTATAAATAGGCACATCTATTAAACACAACAGCACCAATTTTTTATCTGGTTCTATTAATAGTTAAAGACCATATAGTAGAGCCTACCACAACCTATCGTACTTACATAAAACCTCAAGGATTAAGTTCAAACAACAACAACTTGCAATTATTGTTGGAACTTGTCACTTAGATACTGTCCCGGAGCGCTTTACAAAGCCAGGGTCTCTGTAACTCAAAATGCAGTCAGAGACTCAGACTCCGAGAGTAATCTGCTGCAGTTTGATTGATGTTGGGCTCAGTTTGATCTCCTGTGAACCTTTTCCTCTGCTCCACGTTCGCCCCCGCTGGTTACTTACCCAAACTCTCACCCTACCCAGACTCCCATTCCTTGCATGAAGTGCCTTGAAATATTTTTCTACATGAAAGGTACTATTTAAGTGCAAATCGTAAAGTTTTTACAATTTTACGGCCGTTGACACAGTCGACCATTCAATCCTCCTCCACCGCCTCTCCTCCCACCTCAACCTTCAAGGTTCTGTCCTTGACTATTCAGGTCCTACCTCTCACACCACCTCCACTTTGTCGCGGGAAACGGCTTCTTCTCCAGCCCCTGCACTGTCTCGTGCGGTGTCCCTCAGGGCTCTGTACTCAGTCCCCTCCTCTTCACCCTCTACATGTTCCCTCTTGGTGACATCATCCGCAGACATGGGCTAAATTTCCACATGTATGCGGATGACACCCAACTCTTACCTCTCTGCCTCCACCCTCAACCCAGGACCATTGGCATCCTGACTGACTGCCTGTCCGACATCAAGTCCTGGTCAAGGGCCAACTTTCTCCAACTCAACATCAGCAAGACCGAGGGCCTCCTGATTTGCTCGCGCCAGCGCCTCCGCACCTCAGGCGCTGGCAGTATCAGCCTCCACAGCTGCACACTCAACCTCACTAAGCCAGTCAGGAACCTGGGTGTCTTGTTTGACCCTGAACTGTCCTTTCTCCCCTACATCCACCCCATGACTGGCACTGCCTACCATCACCTCCGCAATATTGCCAGAATCCGCCGCTGCCTCACCCCTCAGGCTGCCGAAACCCTCACCCACGCATTCGTCACATCAAGGCTCGATTACAGGAACTCCCTCCTCATTGGCCTTCCCAACTCTTCCCTTCACAAGCTGCAGATCATCCAAAACTCTGCAGCTCGTGTGCTCTCACGCACCAGGCTCCGTGACCCCATCACTCCCACCCTCGCCCGACTCCACTGGCTCCCCATCCCCCAGAGGATCAAGTTCAAGATCCTCGTCCTCACCTTTAAGGCCATCCATGGCCTTGCCCCCCCACCTCTATGACCTGCTGACTCCCTACCAAACTCCCCGCTCCCTTCGTTCATTGGGCTCCGGTCTGCTCCATGTTTCCCGCCCGACCATCGGTGGCCGGGCTTTCAGCCTCTCTGCCCCCACACTCTGGAACTCCATCCCACGGTCCCTTCGCCTACATCCTCCGTTGCCTTCTTCAAGGCCAATCTCAAGAAGCTACTCTTCGACCATGTCTTTGGTCTCCCTCCCACCTCTCTGCCTTCCCTCACCCTTACACCACCCCTCCCCCATGCTCGGACCCCGATACCTGACTGTTCAGCGCTTTGGGAAGTGCTCCCGACGTGAAAAGTGCTCTATAAATGTAATTTTATTGTTGTTGTTTTCCTCACTGGTTAGTTCCATTATTCATCACTGATATAACTAATGCAAGTGACAATCCACCTAATTATCTTCTCATTACATTTCATTCACTCTTCTAAACCAAAGAGATAACAAGTCCTTCTGTCAGCCACTGATCATGCAATCTCCTCTTTTGCCATAATTCTAATATTTAAATCTCCATCTTCTTCAACATCAATCTCCCAAGATTAATATACATTTAATTTTCCTAATTAAACAATCCCTAGAAGGCAATAAGGCAACCACTATTAAATGAAGACAAAGCACTTTGCTCTGGGTCACCTCAAGGTTAAGCTCAGCTTTAAGTACGGTATATAACATACTTAAAACTGTGCCAATGCTAGGGTGAGCAGTGAAGCCGAATCTTAGTAGATTTTTTACTTAGGAACATAGGAACATAGGAATTAGGAGCAGGAGTAGACCATTCGGCCCCTCGAGCCTGCCCCGCCATTCAATAAGATCATGGCTGATCTGCTAACCTAACTCCATCTGCCCGCCTTATCCCCACATCCCTTAATCCCTCTATCCTTTAGAAACCGATCAATCTCAGTCTTGAATATGTTCAAGGACTGAGAATCTACAGCCTTCTGGAGTAGACAATTCCATAAATTTACTACCCTCTGAGTGAAGAAATGTTTCCTCAACTCAGTTCGAAAGGGCTGTCCCTTAATCTTAAGACTGTGATCCCTAGTTCTAGATTCTCCAACCAGGGAAATAGTCTTGCACTGTCTACTCTGTCAAGCCCCATAAGAATCTTAATTGTTTCTATAAGATCACCCCTAATTCTTCTATATTCTAGAGAATATAGGCCTAGTTTACTCAACCTCTCCTCATAGGTCAACCCCCTCATCCCAGGAACTAATCTAGTGAATCTACGCTGCACCCCCTTTGAGGCGAGTATGTCCTTTCTTAAATAAGGAGACCAAAACTGCACACCATATTCTAGGTGTGATCTCACCAAGGCTTATAAAATTGCAGCAAGACTTCCCTACTCTTGTATTCTAACCTTTTTGCAATAAACGCCAACATGCCATTAGCCTTCCTAGTTGCTTGCTGTACCTACGTACTAACTTTTTGTGACTGGTGTACAAGGACACCCAAATCCCTTTGAACACTAACACTATCTAGTCTCTCTCCCTCTAGAAAATAATCTGCTTTTCTGTTTTTACTACCTAGGTGAATAACTTCACACTTCCCCACATTATATTCCATCTGCCACCTTCTTGTCCACTCACCTAGCCCATCTATATCCCTTTGCACTCTTTCTGTGTCAGCCTCAGAGCTTACTCTCCCACCTAGCTTAGTATCATCCACAAATTTAGATATTTTAAGTTCTATGTCCTCATCTAGATCATTGATATAGCTTATAAATACTTGAGGCCCAAGCACTGATCCTTGTGGCACTACACTAGTCATATCCTGCCAATCTGAGAAGGACCTGTTTACCCCTACTCTCTATTTTCTTTTTTCTGCCACTTCTGCTGCCATTTCGGCACTTAGATATAGTTCAGTGATATAGAACATTAGCCTTTGGTTTAGCACCTTGAGGACTATTAAGCAAGACAGGTGACAGTTTCACCAGAGTCCACCAGTAAGCGCCAATTATAGGTAAGTCACCCAGCAGCTAATTAACTTTCCAGTTCACTTGCCAACAGCTCTTCTTGAGGACTCCCTCCTCATCAGCTGCACTTTCCCTTTAGGATACTGATGACTTGAGTCAAATATGTGGAGTATTTCTCTTAGCAGCCTTTTTTCTGCAATTTAACACATGCTTCACTATTATGGCAGGGCAGAGCACTCTGTAATCTTTGACTACTGCAATTCATTAATCTGTGGACAAATAATCTTCCCAGAATCAACTCAGGTGAACATCACCACCAATAACCTGTGTAGCTGTTTAATGTAGCGCTGTAAAATACACAAAGAGCCTCTCAGCAAACCCAAAGTAAAATAGTAAAGGATAAAAGGGTATGTGATAAACGTCATGCAGTATATGATGTATCAATTATTGAGTATTTCAACCCTATGAAATGCTATCCTGTATAAAGGGTGCTATGTAAATGTAAGTCACCATCACCATATGTTGTTCAGTGGGACTGAAAGCAGTGATTATGGGTGTCAATAACAAGGACAACAAGTCTGCACAGAAACATAAATTACATATTAATGCTGAAAAGTCTTCATAGCAAATTATGCATAGTGATAAACTGCAGCATTTTCAAAATAATACCCCAAACTCACCTTCTTAGATTGGTTTTGGCACCAGATATGAAGCGCTCCATTGAATGCATGTGCCAAAATCATTGATCCATCTGGACTAAACTGGCAGCCATAGAAACCTAACGTATTTCCTCCAACCTCTCCCACGCGAACCTGATGAGAAAAACAAAAGGATCTTTTAGTCTCCCTTCAGCAAAAATAAACAATTAAATAGAGTATTTTGCACAGAAAAAATGATAGTAAAACTACTTTTAGTAAAAAGCTTGTTCCTTTGAAAAACAAACATGAGACAGCAAAGGACTAAATCTTTTCCCTTCCCATCTTGTTTGGCCAAATGGCTGCATTTGCCTAGAAAAACAACAGTTATTACACTTGACAATCTTAATTGTGAAGAATTGTGAGACATTTGTACATGGTAAAGTTATATGAATCTAAGTTCTTTCTTTCTTCAGATTAATTCAAGTCAATAAGAGTCCATGCCTGTGCAAAACTATTTATGTTCCCTTGAAATGATTGAATTTGATGGGACAAAATATTCTTCTAGCATTTTGTCACAAAATAATAATCTTTACATTTGATATAGGGCTTTATCACGTCTTTGAGACGTCTCAAAGCGCTTAACAGAATATACTGTAAAGTGAATTGACTGTATATTTTGTGGGTGAAACGTGGCAGCCAATTGTGCACAGCACTGCCCCACAAACAGTCGCGAATTGAGTGACCAAATTATTATTATTACCCCCGAAAAAGTGATCTGCCAATCAACTAACAGCTGGCTTCCTACTTACTGCTAGGTAAACAGAGGGTGTGGAGTAAGGAAATTTTCCCAAAGTTTCACCCACGTCCTCTTGCTTGCAGGCTAGTACTCTAACCACTAAGCTACAGGACTCCAAATATGAGGATAACCTGGACCCTGAGCCATACGCAACAACTGGTAGATACAAACATGTGCTCGTTAAAGAAACGTTCCCACTTCTGAAACAGATGTGGTCATTAAAAATATTTGGTTATTTACTCCAAAATTACCAATCTAAAAGTACAAGAAATGGTTAAAGGCTGTTCAGTTTATTATTTTAAGAACTAGTCTGGAAAGAAAAAGCAGCAAAATTTTTGTTTAAATACAAAAAAAACTACTGCTGACAGATGCAATTCCTGCAGTCAACCAAAGATTTACAGCAGGATTCAGAATTTGTGATGGCTTTCCATTAATTACATCCACAAATTAATTTTGTTACATTATAATGGGAAATCACTTAGAGAACACCTGCAATCATGAAAAAAAATTACACTCATCCGTTTCCACCAGGATATTCAACACTGTCATTTATCATCTCTGCGCCAATCAGTGTCCTACAACAACAAAATATTTTATTCAAGCCAAAGCTTTCAATAGTAATTCTGTAATTTTATCAGTTTTCATTGATCTTTTCCAACAGGTCATTTAATGCAATACATACAAACTGCTCAAGTGTGAGAAAACAGTACTCCCCAATTTGTTTTAAAATACCAATCAACAATATTTCTATCCTGTCCTGATTTCTGCAGATACAGTATTAAACCAACTCTGGGAACCAAAGCATTTTCTGTCACAATCTATAAAGTGCAGAATCAAGGAAAAAGGCCTATAATTCAATATGCCCAACGTATTACAATGTCCCGTAAAATGTACGAGGGACATGCACGAGGCCTGATTCAGTCGAGTGGAGGCAGCGGATAGTGAGTCGGGGAGTAAGCAGGTCGGAGAGGTAGGGAGGTGCCAGTCCATGAAGGGATTTAAAAACGAGCGTGAGGATCTTGAAATTAATCCGTTCGCCGTCAGTGGAGCCCGTCTAGAACTGGTGTGATAGGGGTACCAAGTTTAGTGCAGGTGAGTATTTGTCTGGGGTAAGGTACAGTCGGAGTTGGACAATGTGATGGAGGTGGAGGAAGGTAGTCCTGGACAGGGACAGGATGTGGGGAAGGAAAGACAGCTATGGGTCAAACCTGACGCCTCGGTTACATACTGGATCAGTGAGTCTGAGGGAGAGGCCGGGAAGGTTGACGAGGTCGGAGCCGGAGGACAGGAGAGGTTGATGGGAGCCAAGGAGTATGGCTTCCCTCTTGTCGACATTTTGTTGCAAGTAGTTTGCACTCATCCTGGCCCTGATGTCTGCCAGACAAGCTGACAGACATCGGCAGCCCTGGAGTCACAGCTGGAGGAGGAGAAGTAGATTTGTGCATCATCCACATACATATGGAAGTTTACTCCATGTCTGCGGATGACATCGCGAAGAGGGAGCATTTAGATGAGGAAGAGGAGGGGGACAAGGATGGAGCCCTGTGGTACACCATAGGTGACTTGGCAGGGGCGGGAAGAGAAACTGTTTGAAGAGACAAAGTGAAGACAATTTGTTAGGTAGGACTCAAACCAGGCTAGTGGGGTCCTAACAGGTGGATGATGGAGGAGAGGTGGTGGATGAGGTTGGCGTGGTCGTGGTGGAGAGGTCCAGGAGGACAAGAAGGCAGAGAGAGAGAGGACGTCGTTTGTAACCTTGAAAAGCGCCGTCTCTGTGCTATGGGCAAGGCGGAAACCAGACTGGAGGGAGGGGGTGGAGGGAGACGTGTGAGCAAAGCTGGTTAGTGACAACGCATTCCAGAGTTTTGGCAACGAAGGGCACATTGGAAATGGGATGGTAATTTGTTAGGTTGTCAGGGTCAAGGGTGGGTTTTTTGAGGAGGGGAGTGATGACAGCTTTTTTTTTAAGGGGGAGAGGAACAGAACCTGAGGAGAGCGACTGCTTTATTAACCTTCTTTGTTGCAATAGAAAAACTTCCAATTCCTCCACTGCCTGCTCATAGGCCAAACCAGTTATCCTGGTATCATCCTAGCAAAATCTCCTCAGCACCCCCTCTATTGGCTTGATATCCTTCCTATAGTGGAGTGACCAAAACTGAACATAATCTTCTAACTGTAGTCTAACCAACAATTTATATAAGTGATTTATATACCACTCAATGCACACAAAGTGACACCAGTGGTGGTCCAACCACCCTGAATTTGGAAAGAAATTGGCTAGTCAGCGCTGGATGCCAGGTGCACTCCACATCTGGGTAATGCAGGCCTACAGGACACCAGTGTATTAATCAAGTCAACATTAGACTAGAGTGTATTATAATGTGGTTGCTCTATATATGGTATTATTGATAGAACGTTTAAGGTAACTCCATGAGTTAAATAATTCATTCCCCTGTATTTTCCATTTAAGCTCCATGAAATTTGCAATTTATACAAAGCAGGAAGTAGGACACAGGGGCAGTGGCCACATGCATGATGTGCTATGTTAAAAATATAGAATGTTTTTAATAATGCATTAAATTGGAATACAATAGGTATATTTCTAATCAGCTGGAGGGGATACTGACATTTTAACCTCAGTGACTATTTTTAGAACACACTTATGACAATGAACTCACTAACAGTATCACACCCCAGGAAGTAGTATGAACCAAATAACAGTATTTCATTATATAAATCCCACAGAATAAAAACACTTTTCTATATAAAAAAAATTGAACTAAAAAATCACTGATATGCCACCCAACTACCAAGGTCCAGTTAACAACAGGGGAAAATCCAGTGAGTCAAGTCACTTGACATTTAGTAGATTTTTTTTGTAAACCAGCGTTCTGTTGTATATGGACTTTGACAACGCAATGGTTCAGCTCAGCTGGAATGAGTTGCTGCTCAGTTTGCTGCTTGAAGAGTGCAGCATTGAGGGTCAGCAACAGTGCTATTCCACTTAATTCATTGTTTATTGTAAAAATTAGAGGGTGATTGATGTCAACCTGGTTCTGTTGTACTTTTGCCTCTGAATCAGAGGTTTTGGGCTCAAGCCTCACATCAGGAATTTGAGCTCATATTCTAGGCCAGGGATCCAACTGGCAGCCCACATTACACAGGGGCTATATCAAATGCAAGGATTATTATTATGCACAGAACAGTCACTCAGGCCATGCCTGTTCTAAGCTATCACTCCTGTACAACAGGAGGAGAAACATTGTATTGTCAAAGATGCCATCCTTCGGATGATACATTAAACCATGGTCACATCTGCCTGTTCAGGTGGACTTTAAAGATCCCTTGGGATTTTTCAAAAGGTGTTTCTTCCAAGCCAACAATTCCAGGACAACATTGGTCAATTCACTTCTTACCTGTTTGTGGGACGCCTCTGACCAAATTGGCTGCATTGTTCACCTACAAATACCGATGACGCATATAATAGCATTGCACTATATAAATCCTACAGAATAAAAACATTTTTCTATTTAAAAAAAACTTCAGCTCAAAAATCAATCATATCACAACCCTTTAAGCTCCATTATTCTCCTTGGAGCAGAGAAGTTTAAGAGGAGACTTGATAGAAGTTTTCAAAATTCTGAGGGGATTCGATAGGGTGAACAAGGAGAAACTATTTCCACTGGCGGGTGGGTCAGTAAAAGAAGTTGTTAAAAGAAACAGAGGGGAGGTGAGGAGAACACTTTTCATATAGCGAGTTGTTCGGATCTGGAATATATTGCCTGAAAGTGTGGTGGAAACCGATTCGATAACAACTTTTAAGAGAGAATTAGATAATTATTTGAGGAGGACAAGTTTGCAGGGATATGGGGAGAGAGCAAAGGAGTGGGATTGATTTGGAAGCTCTTTTCAAAGAGCCAGCACAGACATGATGGCCCAAATGGCTTCCTTCTGTGTTGTATAATTCTACGATTTACTGTAAATCCTCTGAAGCGCTTTTGAGACGTTTCAACAATAACTATATGAAATCCATTGATTATTCAACAGCATAAATTATATGAAACCCAAGTATTATTATTATACCATTTTAGCACATGTGAAGATAAACATTAATACAGACTTGATGGACCAAATGGTTTGTTTCTATGCTGTAATGGTATATGATTCTATGAAGATAGCTTGGGGGTAAAAGCTCACGATAAGCCATTACATACCACCAATCCTGATGAAAGTACACAGTTCCTTTCCTATGTTGCATTGTCTCAACAAAACAATATTTGATAAAGCAAATAATGGATACAGTAGATCCTGTAGCTCAGTGGTTAGCGCACTCGCCTCGCAAGCGAAGGTCTGGGATCAAAACCCTGGCAGGGCGAAATGTTGAGGAAGTTTCCTTACTCCACATGCCTGTTTACCTAGCAGTAAGTGGGAACCCGGTTGTTAGTTGATTGGTGGATCGTTTTTCCAAGAGTAATAATTCCTTCAAAAAAATAAAAATTTTGCACAATCCACAACTGTATGTGGGACACTGTTATGCGCAATTGGCTGCTACGCTTCACCCACAAAATATACAGTCAATTCACTTTAGTTTATTCTGTGAAGCGCTTTGGGGCATCTCAAAGACGTTAAGGTATTATATCAAATGCAACGATTATTATTGTTATAATTTCTGCAAAAAACAAAGGGCTTCATACATTAAGCAACTGTTTTTCAACATTCAATGCCAACATGCTCTAAGCAGAGTATTTAAGTGTATGTGACACATCCTGTCAGGACAGCAATTGTCCTGGAGTCAATAGAGTTGGGTGTCATGCACATACATGTGGAAGCTGACCCCATGTCTGCGGATGTCACCAAGAAGGAGCATATACATGTTGAATTGGTGAGGACCAAGGACAAAACCCCGAGAAACACCGCACAAGATGGTTCGGGGACTGGAGGAGAAGCCTTTTAGGCAAAGCTGCCCAAAGGTTTAGACAAAGCTGTCCAATGCAAAATTAGGGATAGGATTTATAGAACCACATGAATAATCACAATTCAGCAAGAAGTGGGTTACAAATCTTACCTGTTCCAGCCATACACCAGACTCCTCATCTGGAGCCCACAGAATCATTGTTTTATCCATTGATGCAGACAACAGAGACAATGGTTGTTCAAGTCTGCCATCTATAGGAAAAGCAAACAAAGACTTTTGTGTGTTAAACACGCACAGAATAAAATGAAAGATTGGAAAAGATCCATTGACTATTCACTAGACTAATACCTGGGTTTTAGAAGCTCAGCTATGACGAGACGCTGTGTAAACTAAGGTTATATTCCTTAAAGAAGAGGTTAAGGGGTGATTTGATTGAGGTATTTAAAACAATGAAAATCAGAAATAAAAGTTGGAATTGGGGTCAGAAAGCATCTAAACATGAGAGATGTGAAGACGTGGAATGCTCTTCCACAGAAAGCTAGAGCCAGAATCAATAAGCTTGTTTTTAAGAGCAAATGACACAGATACTTGGTTAGTAGAGATATAAAGACTATGGCAAAGGGGCCGTGGTTTGGGATTACATCCAAGTCATGACCCCACCTCCACAAAATTGCCCAGCTCCACCACTGCCTCTCCCCTCAGACCGCCAAAACCCTATCTGCGCATTTATTGCATTGAGGCTCGACTACGCCAACTCCTTGCTCCCTACCCTGCATACGGGGCGCAATATAAATGCAAGTTGTTGTAATTGTTGGACTTCCCAATTCTTCCCTCCACAAGCTGCAGATCATCCAGAACTCTGCAGCTCATGTCCTCACCGGCATCAAGCTCCGTAGCACTAATAACCCCACCCTCGCCCGGCTCCACTGACTCCCCGTCCCCCTTCCCCAAGGATAGAGTTCAAAATGCTCACCGAAAAGCCTCCATGACTTTGCTCCTCTGTGACCTGCTAACGCCATATAAACCTGTCCACTCCCTCCGTTCAACAGGCTGTGGCCTGCTCCACATCCCCAGCCCGGTCCGGCCCACCCCACCGGTCGAGGCTTCAGCCTCTCTGCCCTCACCCTTTGGAACTCCATCTCATAGTTCCTTCGCCTTGCTCCCTTCCTTGCCTCCTTTAAGGCACGTCTCAAGACCCTTATCTTCAACCTCATCTTCGGCTGCCCTCCTACCCCTACCCTCCCTGCCCTCCACCCCTCCTGATAGGGTCCAAATCCTGTACTGTCCAGCACCTTGTGATGTCCTCCCAATGCGAAAGGCCCTATACTAATGCAATTTATTGTTGTTTAAAGATCTGCCAAGATCTAATAAATTGAAAGAACCGACTTCATGGGCTGAATGGTCTCCTCCTGTTCCCGTCTTCCTTTATTCCTACATATTTGCTACATGTAAATGTGCATTATATGCATCTTCTTACACATTGCCTTGCCCAAATAATAGGAACATGAACAAAGGGTACTAACCAGAAGCTGTCTCTACAACCAAGCCAAATATTATTAAATATAATAATATAACTACTATACCATTAAAAAGTAGGTAAAAATATTTTTTTCCATTCTAAGTCTACTTTAAATATAAGCAGAATTTTTAAATCCACTTTAGTTATCAGATCAAATAACAGATTCTTATGGTATAAACACAGAAATCGCTGTGATCCAGCATCTGCAGTACTTTGCCTTCAGATTATTATGGACAGGTGAAGACTCATCACCTTGGGGATATCACAGAGCATAAACAGTGATAAGCTCAGTTACCAATCTGTTCCCACTTCCAAAACAAAATTTCAGCCACGAATCCTTGACCACTAATCCTGCACCAATGGATAACTTCAAATAAAATACTCGAATAAAGAAACCAAAAAAAATCCCACTCAAACAAGTTTTATGTATTACTTCCAAATACAGATTGTAGAGTCTACAGTATTTACATTTTGTAGGAATATACAGTAAACAAAGAACACCATTGAGTACATTCACATTTTTACAATATGGTACAAATTGAAGCTGTTATTAAAAACAATACCACTCCAACTACAACCCCTACCCACATAACAATACAAGTCAGCTTCTACAATATTTTAGGCAAAAATGAATGACTGGCTAACTGGTTAACTTTAGATTTTAAAGTTACCATTATAACCTGCAGCTCCAATTCTGCTGAAGTGCCATTGAGACCATGATTTGAGTATGACCTGGAGAGGGTAAGTTATCTGAGTCACTGAGGATAAACTCAAATGCAAGGATTTTATCAACCACCAGGGTCACACAAAATACAACTTGAATCAACAAAACAATTGCTTCCACTTTGTCAATGGTCCTAAAGTGACTTTGTTCAGCTACATCACCTCAGGTATGTGAGGTTTTTTTTGGCGGGGGGGCTAATGGGGGAAAGAAACCATTGTATTGGAGGTTAGTCTGCAACTGCCTCAAAAATAGCATATTTGGAACCAAAAGCTATTATTAGTATCAATAATATTACAACGTACAATAGTACTTTTCACAGAAAAACAAGGTCAGAAATCTTTTGTTCGAAAGAATATGCAGGGATATTCAGGTGAAGTTCCTAGAAAGGCAAAGTCGCACTAAGATTTTAAGGGGAATGTCTCCAAATTTAAAAGTATAGACCTGAAAACTATGCGTTTTTAGCTGGTTAGACGCTAGCAGTACCCTAACACACACTCTGGAGTCCCCAAGCCACGGCTCTTGCCAATACTTTATGGAATTAGGTGAGCAGGATGAGACCCCCAGGGACTCCATTCCAACAATCTATCTCTGCGATTTCCATATGTAGGTGGGACACATGGGGTTCTCAAGTTTGGCTTGGATACTCCTAAGTATGGTGAGGGGTTTCTGCACATTTTAGACCCATGAAATGCATAGTTTCAGGTACATTACTGATGGATTTGAATAGGTACCTTCCAGCACCAAATTTGTGCACTAAAATTATTGTATTAACCAAAATCCATTGATCTTTGATAAGCTATTTGCAAGTCGGTTACTTTCATTCGTACCTTTGTGAAACGGGGGCTGCCAATGTATTCCATAAACCCAGTTCTCATGACCTGCTAGCACAGTCTCCAGAGTTGCTGCATATGTCACTGCTCCTTCTAGCAAAAGAGAATAAATTAGGTTATATCACAGATAATGATTTAGTTGAATTGGTTTTAAAATTACATAAACCAGAAAAGGTCCAATCTATGCTACTGCCCAAATCAAAAAAGTAAAAATGGTTACAAATATTTAATTTTATTTAGGAATCTGTTTTGCCTATAATAGAATAATAGTAACATAATAATCCTTGTATTTGATATGTGCCTTATTACATTGTCAAGACATCTCAAAGCACTTGCACAGGATTTTACTGTGAAATGTGGTGACTGTTTATTTGTAGGCGAATATGGAAGCCAATTTGCACATGGCAATGTCCCACAACCAACTGTGAAGTGAATAACCAACTTTATTTGGGGGAACACAAAGAGAAACTCTCTTCTCTTTGACATCCAACCTGAACAAGCGGACAATAGTTGAATAGAATTCAACTGCTCTTTGACATTGTGAATGTTTTATAATACGCTAAAAATCGATGTATCAATATTGTCTATCATTNAAAAATTCATAAATCAACAGGCAATTATAAAATGAGAAAAGGGCTGAGAAAAGAATATCACCTGATCACATGGTGAGTGAGGGGATGGAGAATGCCTGATCATGTGGAGGGCAAACCACATGCGCACTTATTGGCCTTTAAGTAGCATGCAAGGTGCTCCATGAGGAAGAATCACAGGAAACTAAGTCCCGACCCATCATCACATGCGCACTTACCAGCTGCAATTCCGGTAATGGACTACCACGGCTTTAATATGCATGGGTTAAACATGGTACATAAACCTTGCCTTAATGTCACCAGCCAGTACAGTACTTGTGCATTTGTTGTGTTAATCATACAAGATCCAATTTTTAAATAACTTTACATAAGTCAAATATGATATGACTTGCAAGTTTGCCCTAACTCATACTTTGCATAAGTTATATTAAATGTTATGGTCCCAACTGATATGACTTATTTGAGTTTTACTGTATTACAAAAATGATGCTATGTAACTTCAGATGTTTATTACATGTATTATTACTCTGTCAGTCAGGGGCATAATCAATACGAAACTTGAGAATGCCTTTAATACTTACTGTCACTTGTAACATGAAATATGTCCTCCTTAAGTTTGATAATGTTCTCATTGTACTCTTTGTAAGTAGATTCTCGCCTGATATAAATTCTCCATATTCGAATCATGCAGTCTTGTGAACAGCTTGCCAATAAAAGATTCCCATCTGTTACAGTGCAAATCAAAACCATATGAAAAACAAATAAGGGTTGTGCAATGAATAAACTTTTTCAAAAACTTCCTTAAATAAATCAAGTCTCTGCAATAGATAACAACACTCAATAGTCTGAAAGTCTTGAATAACTACAAGTCAGATGTTGAAATGCTTTTTGAAGCTAAAATAGGACAGGAGGGAAAATGTGTCAAATTAAAATGTTTTTAAAAAGCACCAAATTCTGACATTTGCCTGCTTGTGCAGTGGGTAAGTGGGCAAGTGCACTGCCAGCATGGTACATAGTCTTTATGACTTCTAAGTCCCTTCATTAAGCTGTTAGCTTATCTCAGAAGGAGTGCTGCAACTTGCTTAAACACCCTGTCCTAATGAGAAAAAAAGGGTGAGAGAGAAATCAAACAAAAATCTATATCCTATGATCCCTGCTGTAAGGAAAGGAGAAATGCAGGCTCCTGTGGAACCATACACGACTGGGTTTGGGCAGTGGTAAATATATTGAAGATACCAAAAAATGACAACATCAAGCTCATTATATAAAATTCATTCACTTTAGACGAACCAAAAACACAGGTATAAGTGAATAAGATCCATAAGCAGATAACTGCAGATCACCATTACACTCTTCAGCCAGTCTCATGATGTAAAAAAGGGCACTGTAAATTGCAGCTCAGTGATGGATACCGCTTTTAGTTAGTTTCTAGTGTTCTTCACTTACCATGTGCAGCCCACTCCACCCCTCTGACCCAGTCTTCATGACCCACGAGCGACTGGATTTTCTGAAACTATACCACCAGCCACAAGTTACTTTTCAGCTTGTGTTGTGTAAACCATGTGCATATCAGGTCCAGAAAATCATCTTCTATTAATTTTGTAATTAACTAATCCAGAAGATTTATTATGTAATGAACAAACCTTAATTACAAAATTATTGCAACTGCCAGTCACTACACATGCATAATTTACACATTTCCCTTCAAGTATTTAATAATTTAATCCTTGCATTTGATATAACGTTTTTCACGTCGGGAGGATGTCCCAAAGCGCTTCACAGAACACACTGTAAAGTGAATTGACTGTATATTTGTGGGCGAACGCGGCAGCCAATTGCGCACAGCAATGTCCCACACACAGTCGTAGATTGAAAATGGCCAATTTATTATTGTTTTGTTTTGGAGGGATTATTATTAGGCTCTGTGTGAAGGAAACTTGCCCAAGGTTTCGCCCTCTGCCTGGAATTGAACTCAGGTCTCTCGCTTGCAAAGCGAGTGCTCTAACCACTGAGCTACAGGACTTTCACACATTTCACACATAATGTTCTATACATCTATCTCCATGTTTTAAACATGGTTTAAAAGTTTTAAACATGGTTTAAAAAAAATATGGTTTTAAACATGGTTTATAAGAGACCTCATTAAACAATCACCACCACATATTCCCTGTGTGAGACATGAACAGTCGCTATTTAGAAATCTAAGCTGTTACACACATACAGTATGCCATTTTATTTGTGGGAAAACTTTGAATTATTTTTCTAAAATAATAACAGAAAAAATGGAAGCAAAATAACATGCATCCATGAACACACTTTTATTAAATAATGAATACTCACTTGTTCACCTTCTTGAATGTACAAGTGAACTTTGCCATCATCACCACCACAAGCAAGAATCAAAGCTGGAATCAGACAATGTAAAATGAGACCAACAGAACAATTACACTTCTCCAGCATCACATTAACTCCCAGACAGAAGTGCTAAACCCACTGAAAAGAATAGAATAACTCCATAACCACTCTCACAAACGAGTGGTGATACATAATAATAATAGTAACAATAATAATAATAATAATGAGGTCTTCTTGGAGCTGAGCTGGCTTGGAAACAGAGTGGCAGAATCAAGTTAAACCTCTGTGGCAGTCTCAGAAGTCAGGCTCCTGAGACAAGCAGGTCTGCAGTACTGCAGGGCACTACTGTAGCCAAGCCATCTGACCTGACTCACCAACAGGACTTGGAGGAGCAGACTGGGAGCAGCCATTATTCACACTCATCTTTTGTTAATCCTGTAAACCAAAGCTCCAATGGTTTGGTTCGACTCACTTCCCTTTCTCCATAGATGCTGCCTGACTTGCTGAGTGTTCCCAGTGACTTCTGTTTTTGTTCCAATGGTTAGTTGGGTTCAAGCTGGACAAGAGACAAGAAACTTGCTAAACATTGATTTCAATGGCAAGTTTTACAGTTTACCTGGTTTAACTCCAGCAATACCCCACTGAGGCTTCTGAAATCCCAAGGCACAGGTTAGGATTTTGCTAACCTGTGCTTAATACTCTCCAGAATTAGGTCAGCAGGGTATGTACGTCGAGGGAGAGAATGCACAGGCCAATTTCCATGTGTAAGTGGCATAATGTGGAAATCTTATTTTCATTTGGATATTCTTAAATATGTTGCTAAGTTTCCACATGTATTAGACACCCAGCTAACAAAACAATGCCACTTTATCTAAAACACACGATTGCTGCTCTTTTCCAAGGCTTTCCTTTGTATAGACATTTCAATCCCTGTACTAGATGGTCTGAATTTGGACCTAGGTCAATAATCTGGAAAACACTCCCCTGTCACACTTCTGTTCGAACACATTTTCATTGATTCTTTGCCAGCGAAACTTACAGGAAGTTACAACACCATACAACATAAAGTAGAAACGCTGTAGTACAGTTCAGGCAAGCAGTGTCATGATCTGGTAAAGTTCATTGCGTTCACTAGTGGAAAGGTACATTAGTAGTGCTGCGTTTAAGCTGTGCTTTCAACAGAAAACTGCAATCTGCTTAAACATACAAATAAAACTGAGTAGAACCAAATTTGCAATGACAGGGATATGACATGCACTCCAATATATCCATAAAATCCCAGCAATTCAGTTTAAACAAAGGCACTTACCATCACTACCTGGCAATCGGGCTAAGGTAACATCCAGTATAAAGCCACTTCCAAATGACAGAGTTTGGACACATTTACCTGAACATAAACACCAAACAATGTTGGTTAATTTTGCATTACGCTGATAGAAACAAAATGTACTGGAAATTAAGAAATACTTCAAATCAGAATCTGTATATCCTGAAAAGTCAGCTATTAAGTCCAAGTTGAATAAATAGCTATTAACTAGATAAAGAACCATTCATTCAATTATGATTTTTAACATACTACAGTATACCGCTGATCTATTACCTGATCTTACTGCAGTTGCAAAAACAATTGGGACCAATGTCATTACTTCCCTTTGCCAGAATTATTGTAAAGCTGTTAAACTAACTGAGAAAAAAAAATCACAAGCATCACAACATTTTGGTAGTATATTAGTGAGGATGTGCCTCATTGTACACATCAAGGAGGAAGCTAATAGTTATTCAGGTAAATCTGGGTTAGAATACAAGGATTTGCATTTCAGAGTTGCGTACTGATAGAAGAAAAGTGTATTGTTTCAGCACAGTACACAATCTCCAGAGTAACAATTTCTTAAAAAGATCCATTGTATATTGTTACTACATCAAATATAGTACCATTTGCACTGACAGTTCTTCTGTCAAAGTTCTTACAACACAGCCAATATAGCATAATGAAAATTTTTAACAATTTAAGTGTTGAAAATATTGGATCACAAAATCCTAGATTCAGATTTCATTCGAAAAATTATAACAAATAGTAGTAATGGACTAAATATGATCCCGTTGATATTCTGCAACAGCACATTTTGACTTTACTCAAGTTGAATATCTTACCATTAGAACCCTGTTTGGACCAGATCTTGACAGAGGAATCTGCTGCTGCTGAAGCTATCAACAATTTAGGATCCTCACCCAAGCCAACAGTTTCATAAATAGCATCAACAGCATATACAGCTCCTGAATGCCCTTCCAGCCGGGTGTAAGTTACAAACTGTAAAATATTAATGAAGAAAACACCGGTTGGGTAATGGCCAAAATGGATTTGAAGCCAGGCGTTTACACATGGAGCATAATACACATGGTTTACATAAATCGCATAATGGATCCCAATATAACAAATGGCTGCATCTAATTTTGAATCACTCACCTTACAACTCAGCACCTCCCAAACAATGAGGCAGTTATCGCATCCTCCAGACACAAGTTCTGTCTCAGGATCTATAATTAAAAATAAAATAATAATAATCTTTGTATTTGATATAGCGTCTTATCAATTCGGCACAAGCTAGAACTGCAGCAAAGGCACTTACGACCAAACATGGCATAAAGCTAGGAAAGTCATCAGAGAAATGGATCGGAATCAATGAGCTGGTCACTCCGAAAGTGGGCACAAGGACATTCCCATCATCAGCCATGGCCGGAGGGGCCCCTCTGGGCCCGTACCAGTTTTGAACAAGTCCGTTATTCTACAACAGACCCATGAGGTTATCCTTAGAGTCTGGAGGGAGTATTACACAGAGTTGGTGTCTGACCCACCAGGCCATAGCAGAGACCCATTTCCATGGAGGCTGGAATAATTGGCGGGATATGTGGGCCAGATTGAAGGCCTTAAAGGTCCAATCCGCTGGGAGTACGTGGACTCTGCACTGTGGTGTCTTGCTGGTGCGGACGGCATCAATGCTGAGTTCCTAAAAGCTGCTCTGAAGCAGATGGAGAATGGTGAAGATCTTACAGGTCCAAGCCAGGAAACACGAACTCGCCTTAGAGCTGCCCTCCTAGCGCTGTCCCAACGGGATTCTCGCTGAGGCACACACCCGGTCAGTGTTCCAGAGTGCAATTGTGACATCCATTCACCAGAAGGGTGACCCTAGTGAAACTGATAACTACAGAGGGATCTCGCTGATTTCAGTGGCTCTTAAAGTGGTGCTTCAGGTAGTCATCGCACGTGTATCGCAAGCATTGGAGGCTCGTGGTTTGATCAGGTAGGAGCAAGCTGGCTTCTGTTCTCGTGAGGAATGTGTGGGACAGGTTGTAGCTCTGTATGAGATCGCAGAACGTTGTAAGGCTGAGGGGAAACCCACGTATGTTGCGTTCATCGACTTTCGTAAGGATTTCTAAAATCTATTGTAATTGAAAGCCTTGGGAATACATCACCGAATCCTGAAATTTATTTGGAATGTGCATTCCAACTCCAGGATCCGTGTAAGGGTGGACAGTGGACTTACTGAGCCCATCCCTCTGGAACAACAACAAAATTACATTTATATAGCGCTTTCACTTCAGGAGGACCTTCTGCATTACCCCCGCCATACATGGTGGTAGGTGCCCCAAATGCGGAATCATGGTTCTGAACGGCCCAAAGGAAGACATTGAGGGAATTGATTGGAAGATATAAGGGGCGTCAGTCCCAATTGTTGACTCTTATTGGTACCTTGGGGTCGTGGCGGACACTAACTTCAGCCTGAACACTGTCCAGAAGGTTAACTCTGAGAAGGGCGAAGGGCATTCTGGTCATGTGCATCCCTCTTCAAGGACAGCAAGGTCAAGCCTGGGCTTACAAGACCTGTGTGCAAACAGTCCTCCTTTATGGATCCAAGATGAAGCAGTGAGGTGGATTTGTGGCAAATGCGAGAAGCGACTACAATGAGGGAGGGCTCCAGCCTACAGTGACCTGTCGCTAAGCACCCTGGAGGACGAATCGGCTTCACAGCGGGTACTTCTATTTGCCAAGGCCCCTTGCATGAGAACCTGGATTGAGCAGCTGATGCTCAGCAAGCCTGGTAACACAGCATTGGACTTGTACCTCAAGAACATCAAGTGGCTGGTACGTCACAAGCTGTCCTGCAAAGGTCCTCCCACCACACTGACAATGCGATAAGGTAATATGCAAGGATTATTACTATATATACACACAAAATGAGAGTATATACATTATATAATATTATATATATTATACGGATAGTTTTGAGAGTCCAGATACTGAATAAGTTACAATCATACAATATAATAATAATGCTTGCATTTTGATATAGCGCTTTTCACGTCCTCTAGACATTTCAAAGCGCTTCACAGAATATGATGTAAAGTGAATTGACTGTATATTTGTGGGCAAACGCGGCAGCCAATTGTGCACAGCAATGTCCCACAAACAGTCATAGACCAATTTATTGTTGTTTTTTTGTTTTGGAGGGATTATTATTAGGCGTGTGGAGTAAGGAAACTTGCCCAAGGTTTCACCCTGTCTGGAATTCAGCCCAGGTATCTCGCTTGCAAGGCAAGTGCTCTAACCAGTGAGCTACACGACTCCAATATACACACATACAACAACAACAACAAGATTCCATCTATAAAGCGCCTTTCGCGTCAGGAGGACGTCCCAAGGCGCTGCACAGTTGGGTCATGACCCGAGCAGGGGGGAAATGGTCAGGGTGAGGGGAGGGAGGGAGGAGCGAGGAGGGGGAAATGGTCAGGGTGAGGGGAGGGAAGGGAGGGAGCGAGGAGGGGGAAGAGAGTCGAGAGGGGAGCTGAAGGCACGGTCGAAGAGAAAGGTTTTGAGACCGGCCTTGAAGGAGGAAAGGGAGGAGGCGGCGAAGGCACTGGGGGATGGAGTTCCAGAGCCTCGGGGCTGAGAGGCTGAAGGCCCGGCCACCGATGGTAGGGCGGTTGGGGCGGGGGACGTGGAGCAGACCGGAGCCGGAGGAACGGAGGGTACGGGCAGGTAGGTAGGGGGATAGTAGGTTGGAGAGATAGGAGGGAGCAAGGCCGTGAATGGCCTTGTAGGTGAGGATGAGGATCTTGAAATCAATCCTCTGGGGGATGGGGAGCCAGTGGAGGCGAGCGAGGGTGGGAGTGATGTGTTCCCGAAGCCTGGTGCGGGACAGTACACGAGCTGCAGAGTTCTGAATGACCTGCAGCTTGTGGAGGGAGGTGGCGGGAAGGCCGACGAGGAGAGAGTTCCCATAGTCCAGCCTTGAGGTGACAAAGGCGTGAACCAGGGTTTCAGCAGCGTGAGGGCAGCACGGAAACCTGACTGAAGGGGTTCGAAGAGTGAATGGGTGGAAAGGAAAGAGCGCAGTTGGGAAGCGACAACTCTTTCCAGGACCTTGGAGAGAAAGGGAAGGTTTCCTAAACATTACATAGAGTGTAATGTAGAGGAAAGGAAATGTGCTGTGGACTTTTTTTAAAACAAAAGCTGTAAGAATATTTATTCTTGCAATTAATTCAAGATTGAGCACAGTATTCTTCAGAATATCAATGCACACTCATTTATCAATACTTACCACAATCATCTCTGTGAACCCACTTGACACAGTTAACTTTTCCAGTGTGCCCATTCAGAGTTTCAGTCACTGTCCTGCTCTATTGAAACAAAACAGAAAACATTCAGTAGGATGTTTTAAGTACAGTATGAAGTTGTAATAGAAATGTAAAAAGTACAACATAGCAATATATGTCCAAGCAGTTAGTGAAGGGAGTTCAATTTATGAAGGATGTGTCCAAAGCCAAATAAGACATCCAACAAATGTAAACCTAAATCCTCATCTATCTCTCTTCCAAATGCATTTGTCAGTTTCTGAGGTCAGGAACAACTTGATAATATACTTAATACATAAAATTATAGGGCAGTAGAGGTGAGCTTCTATATACCATGTTGTTCACTATGTTTCACTATACCTTAAATATTAAATGGATCCAAATCTATACCTTAAATATTAAATGGATCCAAATCTATTTTGCCCACAAAATACAGTCAATTCACTTTACAGTCTATTCTGTGAGGCGCTTTGAGACGTCTCAAAGACGTGATAAGGTGCTATATTAAATGCAAGGAGCATTATTATTATTATTATTATTATTATAGCATACAGGTCTGGATCCACACCAGCAGTATTGGTCTGAGCACGATAGATCGCTTAAAATTGTGTTGTTTGCTGTACATTCCTTCGTGAATGCCACGGTCCAAACACAACATACAAGATATTACATAGACTCATGTACACGCCGTGGGTACCAGCCGGCACGAGAGGGCGTCAACATACACCAGGGGGCGGCCAGCACAGCGCTCCGGCCAGGAGGCTGGAGCAGGGAGATTCTGCAGGTGGCAAAAAATTCAGTGGTGGTGGTAGTGGGGGATAGGGACTCCCGCACACTGGAGGCAAGTGACAGGGAGGTCTGAATACTGGGAGCGGGGGTTAAATCAACACACTGCCACTGCAGGGGGGGGGGGGGGTCTGCACACCGGAGTGGGGGGGGAGGGGTCTGCACACTGCAGGGGGGGGGTCTGCACACCGGAGTGGGGGGGAGGGGTCTGCACACTGCAGGGGGGGGGGTCTGCACACTGCAGGGGGGGGTCTGTACACTGCAGGGGGGGTCTGCACACTGCAGGGGGGGTCTGCACACTGCAGGGGGGGGGGGTCTGCACACTGCAGGGGGGGGGTCTGCACACTGCGGGGGGGGTCTGCACACCGGAGTGGGGGGGGGGGGGGGGGGAGGGGTGTACACGACAGAGGAGACTCTCTGTACACGGGAGGGGGTCTTCGTACAGGGAGATGGGGCTGCGGGGGGGGTTGTGCAATGTCTGATTCGAATCCACCTCGGGTTCTGTGACTGTTACAGAGCGGCAGTTGCCGATGGCCACGTGACCTCCTCTCCCCCAGGACACGGCGCGCGGAGCCCGGTTCGCGCAGCACGAAACATGACAGGTCTGCACCACCGGCGCCGCCATCTTTCCTGACCCCTCACCCCGGCCCAGCCCCGCCCCCCCAGCCCCAGCCCCTCCCCACCCCCTGCCTTGTGTGGCCGGTGCTGAACATGTGGAGAGCGTTGGAACGCGTGCGTCACACACACAGCGTCACTCACACACAGCGTCACGTACACACACACAGCGTCACTCACACGCGCAGCGTCCCACACACCACACATCGTCCCACACACCACAGAGCGTCACAAACACCACACAGAGAGGGTCACGCAATATGGAGGAGGTCTCTCACACACACACACACACAACACAAAGAGTGTCAGATACAGCGGAGAGTGTGTCCAAAGCAGATTGACAGTTCTGCGCCTCCCATCGACACGTAGACATTTCCGTGTTTGGAATGGAATGGAATGTACATTCTCTGCTGAACGCACACACACTCCTGACCTAATTCCAGAGAGCATTAGGCACAGGTTGACAAGCGCCAAAATTGGGGACCCCAAACGCTGGGGTACTGAGCTCGGCTATTAATCCCTCCAAAAAAAAACAATAATAAATTGGTCATTTTCAATCTACGACTGTTTGTGGGACATTGCTGTGCGCAATTGGCTGCTGCGTTTGCCCACAAATATACAGTCAATTCACTTTACAGTATAATCTGTGAAGCGCTTTGGGACGTCCTCCCGACGTGAAAAGTGCTATATCAATGCAAGGATTATTATTATTATTATTATTATTATTATTATTACCATCAGCCACACCATGGAGTAATGTTAACCCACTTAGCTCAGGAACCGGACTATTAATATTGCCACGGAGAAATGACTTCTCCGTCAATTGATTCCGACATTCCGTGCCAACTATGTCACCTTAATACCAGTTCAGTTCTCCAGTTTAGAGATTAAATACAGTGGTATCCACTTATTCGGACACATCAGGGCAGGGAGTTTTGTCCGATTTACCCGATTTACCCGATTTACCTGGTAATGGAGGTTCTTACCTTTTCTTCCGCCATCTCCCATCCTGAGTGCTTCTTTCCTACCATTGCCGCTCTCAATGGACGGTAAGGGTACCAACTAGCGGCGGCTCCAGGAGGTGTCAATCAGCTCACAGCAGCCGCTAATTGATCCCCACCATGGATGCAGTCACTGCACAAACACACACACCCCCACCACCGAGACACTTGTCAATACCACTGTATTGATAGCGGATTAAGCTCTCTGAGAACGCTAACCTGCGTGGAGGGCACTTTACAAGTGCAAGGTTGTATATAATAACAACAACTTGCTTTTTTATAGCACCCTTCACACTGGGTAGCATCTCACAGCATTGAAATAATAATAATAATCATCCTTGCATTGATATGGCGCCTTATCACATTGTGAGGTCTCAAAGCGCTTCACAGAATATATTGTAAAGTGGATTGGCTGCATTTGTTGGCGAAATATAAGTGCAAAAGGGTTTTCGGAGAATAACAGAAATGTAAATTTCATACATAACTCCAGTGGGTAAGCTCACAACAGCACAGAGATAATGAACCAAATGATCATCTTCTGTGCTGACATTTATAGTATTCTGGCACAGCCTGAATTCAGCCCTGGAGTATTTAACAAGTTCCCTAGGGTGACATGGAAGCAGAAAATGTTGTTTGTTTCAAGAACAAATTAGATAGATTTCTGCTAAAAAATAACATCTCGGGATACAGTATATAGTTTGGGACATGACATGTCAAGCGACTACCAGGATGGTGGAAGGCGAACTAGATAGACATTGCCGGCAGGGCAAAACGTTAGGCAAGTTTCCTTACTCCACACACCTCTGTTTACCTGGCAGTAAATAGGAACTTGGTGGTGAATTGATTGGCGGATCACTTTTCTGGGAGTAATAATTCCTTCAAAAAAAAGGAAAAATTGGTCACTCAATCCACGACTGTTTGTGGGATACTGTTGTGCACAATTGGCTGCTGCTTTTCGCCCACAAAATATAAAGTCAATTCACTTTACAGTGTGAAGCGCTTTGAGATGTCTTGATGACATGATAAGGCGCTATATCAAATGATTATTATGATTATTATTATTATTGGTCTTCTTTCATCTAGCAAATTCTTATGTCCTTACGGTACTTCAAGGAATCTGGTACACTGCATGTGGTTCGACACTGTGTTGTTACACGAGGCTCACACTCCTGGAAAGTTATGGAGATTCTTTTGGAAAGTGCATTAATACAGTAAAGGAGTCCACTTTTGCCTGATTGCCATTTCCTGAGCTGATCAGGTGCCTGCCTGTCAGTTCGAGTGCCTGTGTACCTCAGCATGTATCCAAATCTACATCAGTGCTTTCATCTTAATTCACTGTGTTATTGTTGAGAAGTTATATAATTAACAGTTGCCTTGCTGGCTGACACTGAAATCTCAGCAAAACTCTGTGCTTATACTGGCATCTAGTGTTGCATCATGATCATTGGACTACACCATTTGTAGGAATACAGTACAGGAAAAAGGGCCAGAAGCAGGCCAGTCAGTGCATCAAGCCTATTCCACTAGTTTATTAGATTGTAGCAGATCTTCTAATCTCAATGCCTCGGCCTTTCAACAAACCTCTTTATACCTTTACTCCCCAAGTATCTGTCTATTTTTCTTTTAAACATCGCCATTGATTCCGCCTCTACAGCTTTCCAAGGCTGATCATGTCACATCTTTACAGAACCCTGTTTGAAGAAATGTTTCCTGACCTTAGTTTTAACTACTGTGCTGTTGCTGTACGAAAATTGGCTGCAGTGTTCCTCTATAATTCATAGTCACAACTCTTCATAGTAAAAAAATGAAGTGCTTTGCAATGTTTCAAGACAAGATAAGGTGCTATATTAAGTGGGAGGATAATTATTATTATATAACTATCCTAGTTGTGATTTTAAGGCTGTGCCCCTTGTAATAGATCTCTCATTATCTATCCTGTCAATCCCTTCTCTACTGCAGGGAATATAATACCCAGCTTCTCACTAGAGCTAAACCCTTATAAATCCAGGTATTAGTCTGTTGCTCTGGGTGCCCAAGGGGAAGGAGGGAAGACTAATTTGTATTTTTATAGCACCTGATCAAGTTGAAACATCTAGAAGCCAAATTAAGTGACTGTTTGTAAGCAAATATACAACAACAACTTGCACTTATATAGCTCCCTCCAAGCAGGGTAGTATCTCAGAGCGTTTAACAGTGGCAGAGCCTGACTCTGAGCCAGGGGGAGGGGGGAGGTGGCTGTAAGCACGGTCGAAGAGGAAAGTTTTCAGGCGGGACTTGAAAGAGGGGAGAGCGGGGGCAAGGCGGAAGGATTGAGGGAGAGTGTTTCAGAGTTTCGGGGTGTAGTGGCTGAAAGTACGACCTTCGATGGTGGGTCGTAGGGTACGAGGGACGAGCAAGAGGCCAGTGCCAGTCAAGCGGAGGCGCCGGATGGAGTATTGGGGAGTGAGGAAGTTGGAGAGGTAGGGAGGTGCCAGGGAGTGAATGGATTTGAACACAAGAGTGAGGATTTTGATCTTGAACAGAAGTCGATCCGTTTGGTGATGGTGAGTCAGTGGAGCCTGGCCAGAACTGGTGAGATGTGGGTACAGAGTTTGGTCCGGGTCAGTATGCAGATGGCAAAGTTCTGAATGAGCTGGATGTTGTGAATGGTGGAGCTGGGGAGACCGGCAAGGAGTGCATTGGAGTAATCCAGGCGGGAGGTGACAAACGCATGCACAAGGATTTCAGCTGCATTTGGGGTAAGATACGGTCGGAGGCGGGCAATGTGGTGGAGGTGGAAGAAGGCGGTCCTGGTCAGGGACCGGATGTGGGGAAGGAAGGACAGTTGGTGGTCGAACTGGATGTCTAGATTACACACTGGTTCGGTGAATCTGAGGGAGAGCCCAGGGAGGTTGAGGAGTTTAGATCCACGGGAGCAAAGACGTTGATGGGAGCCAAGGAAAGTTTTCAGGCGGGACCTGGAGTTGGTACTGGAGGAGGCAAAGTAGATTTGTGTCTCATCCACATACATGTGGAAGTTTACCCTGTGTCTGCGGATGACATCGCCCAGAGGGAGTATATAGATAAGGAAAAGAAGAGGGCCAAGGATGGAGCCCTGGGATACCCCGCAGGTGACTGGGTGGGGGTGGGAGGAGAAACCATTTGCTGAGATGAAATGGAGGTAGTTGGTTAAGCAGCCATTTGCACTGAAATGGTCTCACAAACAACCACAAGGTGAATGATCAATTAATCTGGAGGAGTGTTGACCAGGACAATAGGAGAAACTATCTTCTCTTTTCAAATAGTTTCATAGAATCTTTAACATCCACTCAAAGATCAGGCAGATGAGACCTCAATTTTATATCTCATTTAAAAAAAAGGTCACTTGTGGGGGAGTGGGACTGATTGGAAAGCTCATTTAAAGATCTGGCACAGACACAATGGGGCGAATGGCCTCCTGTGCTGTAGGATTCTTTGATTCTATACTTCCAACAATATACCAGTTCCTCGGTAATACACCAGCATGTCAACCTTACTAAAGTCGTAGTGCAGCGCTTGAACACACAACCTTTTTATCTGAAGGCAAGAGCTCTACAAGTTGAACTAAATTGCCAAAAACTGAGCCACCTAATATTCAAATTACTTTTTGATGTAAAAGGTAGTATATTAAAGGACTGGTGCTTCCCTGTTACCTTGTAAAGTATTTGCACTGTACAAAAAGTGGCTTTGCATATGTGGCGATGCGAACAATGAATTGTGACTGTGTCCATGCTTTCTATTCCCAGACTCATGATAGCTGACGAATAACTCTGAGAAAAATCTGCAAATAATATTCAGACTATTGAAAAATTGATCCAATGTCATAAGCTCTTCAAAGAGGGAGCCTTAGTTTGATTTCTCTCAGTTTTTAATATACAAATGGCAGAAAGTTGAGGATTAATCTGTCGAAAAGCATGATCTCTCCACAAGCTTTGTTTGAGAACTCAGGTTTTAAATATTAGGAAAAGAATATGACTCAGTGAAGAAAAGCCCCTCTGGAGATTAGATTCCTCC